ATTCACTTTATTTTTATATAACCTTCTAGAGAAAAATGTATAAAAGATGAGTGTGTATTATAATAGCTCATTTATCTTAGTTATATTTATGTCATGTTTTTATTAAAAATATTTCTGAAAAAAGACAGCTTAACAGTAAGTAGTTAACTTAAGTAGTTTCTCCAGATAATTTAGTGCTATCAGTAAGAGTTTTTATCATTAATAAGTATTTAATTGAAACATGAAGATGATGGTCATTTTGTGGCTGTTTTAAAGAAACAAATCTTTTGTTCTCATATCTCTTGTGTTTTTTTCAATTGTAGATAGCACCATATTTGTTTTCTACCTTCCCTCAAATTTATATTTATTGTGTTTTCAACATTAAATACTAAATTATTTTCATTTAGATGATTTATTGAATGTTATTTAGTCATATTTAATAATAATTCAAAATAAAATTTAAAATATGTAGTCGATCTTTTAGCCAATAGAAATGGTTTCCTTCCTTTCCACTCTTTTTCCACCTTAGTGCTTTTATTCTATTTTCTTTGCTAAAAATTCTCTTCACATCCTTTTCTGTTTAATCTAATTCCTCCAACTCATTTTCTTTTCTATTAAATTTTCCTTTGGGGCATTTTTAGAAAATACAGCAAAGCTACAAAGTATAAGCACTTATAATCTTATCTACTTAATAGGGTCAGAATATAAGGAAGGACTTGGGAGAACATATTTGTAGCACAATAACAGAAAAAACTAGTATCCAGAGTATGTAATCCAGAATATATAAATGACTTCAATGAATCAGGAAAAGAAAAAAGACAGCCAATAGAAATTTGGATAAAAGACTTTAAATGGCACTTGACATAAAAAGAAATATAAATAGCCAAGAAACATGCACATATTCTCAGCCATTTTAGTAATAGGGAAATGAAAAGTAAAAACACAAAGAGGTGTCATTACAACCCTACCAGATGCACAAAAATGAAAAAAGGGTTCATTGTTCTGTTCATGATTTGGAGCAACATGAACTCTTACTTTGAAAACAATCACTTTGGAAAACAGTTTGCCTTTCTCAACAACCCAGCAACTGCACTCCTAAATATACACCTTTCCTGGTTATTTTCTTTTTCTTTTTTTAAAATATATTTTCATTGATTTTTAGAGAGAAAGGAAGGAGAGGGAGATAGAAACATCAATGATGAGGGAATCATCGGTCAGCTGCCTCCTGCATGCTCCCTACTGGGGATTGAACCTGCAACCTGGGCATGTGCCCTGACCAGTAATGGAATCGGTGACCACTTGGTTCATGGGTCAACACTCAACCACTGAGCCACACTGGCTGGGCTCCTGGTTATTTTCTATTTTTCCTCCAGATCACACTTTGCCCTTCAGTACCCTGCGTTATGTCCATCAGGGTGTCATGGCAATGGGGAAGCCACTGCAGAAGATTTGAGGGAAGAAGGTGAAGTTGCGTATTTAGTCCTTCATGTACCTTTTTGTTAAGTTCCTTGACCTAAGGTCACAACCTCTTGTAGGTGTCCATCTTCATATTGCATTCTCTGCTCGCTCTCCAGGTTCTGATAATCTGTTTCTCTCCTCACCTCTTCAGCCTAGGAGTGGCAACAGAGCCTTGCTCTTAATAGCCCTGGGGTGCTGCACTACCCTTTATGGTTTCCCCATACCCTGCCCGCACCTATAGAGATGGTCCCTTTCTTAAACTTGTCTCAAATTACAATTTTTTTTTCCTGCCAGAACCCTAGTTAATACATTGCTCTGGGAAAACTATTGAACATATTCCCTAGGAAGCATGTATACTAGTAAGAATGCTCATAGTAGTACTATACTAGTAATAGCCAAGAATTGGAAATAAACCAAATATTCAGCAGTGGTGGGATGGTTACATTCTATCATTGTATATTCCAACAATAGAATTCTACACAGTGGTGAAAAATCAGAATGCGGATGGATATCACAAAGATAATGTGGAGCAAAAGAAGCAAGTAATATAAGGATGCCATCAGCATGATTCCATTTATATAAAATTCAAAACAGTTAAAGCTAGACTATATTGTTTTAAAGATGTATCCATATGAAATCAAAGTATTTTAAAAAGCAAGAGTGTTGTTGTCCCAATGGTTAGAATAATGATTTCCTCTGAGTGAAGGTAGGCGAATGTGATTGGGCAATGGCACCTGGAGCTTCTGGGATGCTGGCAGTGTTCTGTTCCTTGTCTTATGAGGTGATTGTATGGATGTTCATTAAAAAATATTCTTTAAGCTGTACAAATATATTTTATGCACTCTTGTTCATATGTGACCTATATCACAATAAAAAAAAAATGGTAGAAACTGTTTTGCTCATCTGCCTTTTCCTCCATCTCTGCAGGCTACTAACTTCAATAGAGAAAAAAGTACATTTCTCTCTTCTAGGACTTTGCTGAACACAGCAAGAAAGTGCCATCCTATACCAACATTTTGAGTTTTTTCTTCTAATACTTCCCCTAATACTACAGCCTCAATCAGCATTTGGTCTGCCTTCCAAAGGACAGCAGTTGACAATTTGACCTAATACTTTGTCACCATCAAATAAGTCACCAGCCAGTGATATTTGTGTCCCCACTGCCCAAAGTTCTCCCTCAAACACTAAGCCAATTCTGTACATTAGGTTTTGTTACTTGCAGCACCCTACTTTCTGTATGAGTTCAGAATTTCACTTCAGCTGTGAGTTACAAAGGCCCAAATGAGAGCTTTTTTAAAAAAAATCCGTTTTAATTTTCACTTGAAGCCTCCGATTTTCTTGGCCTCACGCAGTCAATTTCAGGTCACAAGATGGGCTTTTCCACATCCAACCCTACATGTGAGTTCCAGGTAGGAGGACAAGAAAGTGAAGATTACAAAAGGGCAACAAATTTGTCCCTCTTTAAGGAGCTTTCCTGGAAACCCCACATAATGTCCACATATCTCAAACTGTCATATTGTAGGGCAACTAATAAGGATTCCCCATATAGGGAACTGGGAAATGGAGTTTTTAGCTGAGTCCATTGCTACCCCAAACTTAATCAGGGTCTGTTAGTAATTCTACCTGTACCATAAAAAAATTCCTATTGAAAACTAGATAAATTATCACATTGGTGAAATTTTAGAAGCATTTCTTAGTAATAATACAAGGGTGCCCTCATTATTTTTTTGGAGGTCCTAGCCAATTTAATAAATAATATGAATGAAAACTGGAAACAAAAATAAAACTTTATTGTCAGTGTGTTTGTCTATATTTTTTTAAAAAAATCTAGATTTAATAAGAGTTCAACAAGGTTATGACTACAAGATCAATATATAAAATGAATAGCATTCCTAGACCATAATAACCAATTAGAAGATATAATAAAAATAATCTCTTACAGGACAACGATCTACAAGATACCTAAATGGCAGGGATCTATCAAGAAATATGCAAGAACTTGGGAACTACAAAATATTACTGAAAGATCAATAGTACATCTGAGGACATGAAATAAGTAACTTCATGATAGGAAGGATGATAAAACTTGTCCCCAAATTTTTCTATAAATTCAGTGAAAATAAAAACAAAATCCCTCATGTTTTTTTCTTGGGAGTTAAGTAGATCCTAAATGTTATATGGAAAAGCAAAAGCTCAAGAATAAGAAGGCAGAAGCACAGGTCCTATTACATACCAAGATTTATTATAAAGCTATAGTAACACAAAATGGGGCACAAAACGTTCTCTTGTATAATTAAGAAATAATCAGTTTTGCTTTGTAATACACAATTGGGTTAGCAGTTCAAGAAAAACTCAAATGATATGGTGAGAACTGGAAACACGATTCCATTTACTAAGCAAACCATAATATTGAACTTGTCCCCCTTACAAATGTGAGTTAATTTATGACAATCTTAGTATCTCATTGTTGCTGTCTACAGAAGGCTCAGGGCGACAGAAGGTAATCCAGAAGCAAATGGTGGTAAACCTCTCTAAATGCAGTCTCTTAAATTTACTATAATTTCAAACTCACACATACATATATATATACCTAGATATACATACATTACACACACACACACACACACACACACACACACACACACAACCTCTGCCAAACTCATGTCTACTATTGAATTCTGCCTACCTTTGTGGGGCCTCTTGAAAACATCCACTACTTTCTATACCTTTTATCAACCCCTTAGCAGTTACCTAATCTCTGGCTTTCCAACTCATTTTTCAATTTTCATCAGTTTCTCTCCCTTCTCTCTCTCTCTTTTTAAACATTTAATCACCTTTATTTATTTACTGTTTGTTTGTTTTTGTTAATCCTCACCCAAGGATATTTTCCATTGACTTTTAGAGAGAATGGAAGAGAGAGGGAAAGACAGAGAGAAACATTGATGTGAGAGAAAACACATGGATTGGTTGCCTTCTGCAGGAACCCTAGCCAGGGCCCGGCCTGGGAGGAGCCTGCAACCAAGGTACATGCCTTTGACCAGAATCAAAAGGGAGAGCAGGCTGATGCTCTATCCACTGAGCCAAACCGGCCAGGGCTCTCTCCCTTCTCTTAGGTCCTGCACCTGCGCATCTGTGTGCACACATACAAAACAGGTGGGGTAGTTCTGGGGTCAAAGCTAGTTTTGTTATGAGGCTCAATTTTTTTTCACTCCTAGGATATGCTACACTTGCAGTGTGCCTGCTGGAGCCATCCCACAGGTGTGAGTGGTTTGGTTTGGTTGTAATCCATTAGACACGCCATGGGATTCCGGGCAGAGGTCCTGGTTGTCCTTCAGTATTCCATTTTCCTTGCATATTATTAGAACTTTAGCTAGGCACATGGTGGCCAAAGTAGATGACTGTGTCTCACCAATTCGTTATTGTATAAACTACCAAGGAAGTGATAATACCCAAGACGAGGAGCCCAGTAAGGTACAGCCGCATTGAAACGGGACACCAAGGCTTACACCTAACGGGAAGGACTTGAGAGTGTCCCTCTAGTCCAAAGGAAGTCCTGGAAGCCCATGCAGAAATGGGTTAGTGCTGAGGTTCCGATCAAAATCGTGCGAAGAATTGCTGGAGAACGAGCGGGCGTTTCCTCAGAACGCTTTCTTCAGGGAAAACCGAACCATGTCACGTGCGCGCCACACCTGCGCGACCTCACACCTGTGCAGCCCGTGGCCGCCCACAGAACCCGGACTCGGATCCGGACTCGGACTCAGACTCGGGCGGACCTCACACCTGTGCAGCCGGTGGCCGCCCACAGAACCCGGACTCGGACCCGGACTCGGACTCGGACTGGGGCGGACCTCACACCTGTGCAGCCAACGGGCCGCCCACAGAACCCGGACTCGGACCCGCACTTGGACTCGGACTCGGGCGGACCTCACACCTGTGCAGCCGGTGGCCGCCCACAGAACCCGGACTCGGACCCGGACCCGGACTCGGACTCGGACTGGGGCGGACCTCACACCTGTGCAGCCAACGGGCCGCCCACAGAACCCGGACTCGGACCCGCACCTTGGACTCGGACTCGGGTGGAACACGCCTGCCCTTCCCCACCGCGCCCTGAGGCCGTCGGACAGGCAGCCCGAGTGGCGCACCCGCGTCTCGGGGTCAGAAGGGGCTGCTGCTCGCCCCGCCGCCACGCGAAAGGCGGTTCGGGAAGCCGTGAGGGGCGCGAACCGGACCCGAAGCGGGAGGAGTGTCCAGAGGAGGCGGCGGCGGGACGCGAGCTCCGTGAGTCCCGGGCCAAGTCTGCACAGTCCTGGCGGGGCCAGGCGGGGGGTGCTGGGGGGCTAAGGGGGCGCTGGCGGGGGCCAGGCTGGGGGGCGGTGCAGGCTGGGGAGCCCCCCAACCTCACCCCCGCCCCGCGGACCCCAGCCTCAGCCTTGTGCTCCCTGCACGTGGGCTCAACCTCGGCATCCACCCCAGCCCCGCTCGGTTCACGTTCCCCAGGTTAGGCCTGTACTGTGAGTGGAAGGAACTGTTCTTCCCACATAAGGAAGAGAATTTTTGTAGAAATGATTAAGCCTTTTTACAAATAAGGGTTTTACGTGCTGTTATCTCATAGCCTGACTCATGCACTGATTTATTGTGTGACTAAGTCAGTCAGTTTTCTGTACTTAAGTTTTTAAAGCAGGGAACGGATCAGCTGTGCTTGGGAATCCATTTGTGTTATAAACTGAGGCGCGTTGAAAGGAACGTGAGGTTAAGAGACAGTTTGGGGGGGGGGTTTGCACTGGAGGGATTATAGCATCGCTGTGTACTTTGAGGTGAATGATTAAATGATTCAAAGAAGAAAGGAGGGAATGTCTAGGAAACTGATATGTGAAATGATTGATGAGAAGGGGTGGGATTCAGAGCCCAGGTGAGATGTGAGAAGCAGAGTAGTTTTTGAGGATGAGCAGGTCAAGGGTAAGATGATTAGGGCAGGGAGCAGGGAACTGAGACTAGGTGCTTCATGGATGTTGGCTTACAGGGTGGTAACAAGAGGAGGGGTGGAAGGAGAGAGGGATCAGGTGATGGAAAGAATGAAGACACTCCCTGGTCTTTGATTGGACTTGGTGGCATTATAAAGAGTCTTTGGTAGATGCTAGGGAAGCTACTCAGCAATACATCTACAAAACCTCTCTTAGGGTCCTTTCTTTTTGGAGATGGTTTATTGTTGATTTCACATTTTTCCAATTCTGACTTTATCCTCCAGTGTTGGGATTGTCCCCTGTGAGCCCTCTCCTCCCCTACGTAACAATCTATATATATAAAAGCCTAAGCAGCCGGCTGACCGTTTGACTGTTCGACCGGTAGCTATGACACGCACTGACCACCAGGGGGCAGACACTCAATGCACAGGCTTGGAAACATGGAACAGACTGATGAATTTCAGAGGGAAGGGGGAGGGAAGAGATCTTATATGCATACTAGAGGCCTGGTGCACAAATTCATGCACTGGTGGGGTCCCTCGGCCTGGCCTGTGGGGATTGGGCCGAAACTGGCAGTCCGACATCCCCTGAGGGGTTCTGGATTGCAAGAGGATGCAGGCCAGGCTGAGGGACCCCACCTGTGCACGGACTCTAGTTGGTTAATAAAATTATACAGGTTTCAGGTATACAGTTTTACAATACATCTGTATATTGTATTGTATGTTTATAATCCCAAGTCAAGTCTCCTTCCATCACCATTTATCTCCCCTTTATCTTCTACCTCCCCCCACTTCCCCTTTTCCTTTGGCAATCACCATGCCATTGTCTGTGTCCATGAGTTTTTCTTTGCTTAATCCCTTCACCCTTCTCACCCAGTCCCCATTCCCCTCCCCTCTGACGGCTGTCAATCTGTTCTCTATATTCAGGAGTCTGTCTCCACTTTGTGAATTTATTTTGTTAATTAGATTCCACATATAAGATTCCACATATAAGTGAGATCATATGGTATTTGTCTTTCTCTGACTGGCATATTTCACTTAGCATAGTACTCTTCAGGTCCATCCATGCTGTCACAAAAGGCAAAATTGCTTTCTTTCTTTTTTTTTAATGGCCCAGTAATATTCCATTGTGTAAATGTACCACAGCTTTTTTTCATCCAGTCATCTACTGATGGACACTTGGGCTACTTCCATATCTTTGCTATTGTAAATAACGCAGCAGTGAACATAGGAGTGCATATATTCTTTTGAATTAGGGTTTTGGGATGTGCTGCATTTTAAAGTTTTGTTTTGGCAGCCTGGCATCTGCGCGGGGTTCTGCAGACAACAATTTTATCTCTGTACGGAGCATTTGGGCTTCCCCCTGTCTAATCTTGTATAAACATTTTACAAACAACGTCCCCTGGGAAGTCCTTGGCCACCGTCCAGCCTCCTAGAGCCAGATACTACATTGCTGACTTCAGGGTGGTCCTTGGGAATCGTTATTTGTTGGGACCAGGGATATTTTTAAGCGTGTGAAAACACTTGTAGAGCGAGGAGAAAGCAGCATCTTAGCACTACAGCTTTATAAAACACTGAGGCAAAGTTCCCGTGTTCAGAATGGCAGAATGAGAAAGGCTCAAGGCTGTTGTTCCAAGTTTTTAGAGTTAAAAGGTTTACCAAATGAGGTTTGCTTTTTCTTCATCCTCTTTAAATGCCCCCAGTCATGCTTGCTTGCTTGCTTTCAGTATTGCCAAATGAGAGAAGCCTCCAGAGTGCTGCTAAAAGCAATAATTTGGATCTTATGGAGAAGCTGTTTGAAAAGAAGGTTAACAATGCTGTGAACAACGTGAGTAGAATTCACTAACGTGACAGTGACTACTCTCAGGGTGGCTTGGGTTTACACAGGTCAACTGAAATATAATAAAAATAAAAATGATGGTGCTGGATGAAATAAGGGAGATCTCTGTTGTTGGTAATTCCAGAGTGTTTATGCTAAAGGTGAAATCAGCACTGGAATAGGCTCTGGGAGTTCCAATTTGTCTTAAAGAGGGGAAGTGCACGTGGTCTTCATGCACATCTGTGCAGTCTGTGGGTGGGCAGTAAAGCCAACTGTCGAGGTTATGGGCCTGGGCTCGGTCCTCGATGATAGCCTGTGGATGACTTTGGCCTCACACATTCTGGGAAGGCAGAACTTTTTTTGCTACATCTCTGGGTTGTTTTCTCCCCAGTTATGTCTTGTGTGTTCGGTTCTTCCACATTTAAAATCTAAAGGCAGCATGGGTTTTCATTCTACTGCTTTTGAAATATAGTGCATGTTGGGCAATGGAGCCCTTTCTGAAACCTGGCTCTTAGTTGTTCTTCGAGTGGTTGGGTTTGGGGGAGAAGCTCACTGCCAGAATAGAAACTTCCTACTGCTTGGTTTTGTGGGGATTCCCTGATAGGCCCTCAAAGTAAGGTTTGTTAAAGTGAACTGGTTGGGGGCTGTGTCAATTGCTTAGGACAATTTGTGGAGTGGTGCAGGTTAGGGATGTCGGAGGTGAATTTAATGTTAAATGAAACAGAAGTTCCAAGGCATTCAGAGGGTTCTAGCAAATGTTCCCATGTCAATATGATTTTGTAAAATATAAAGACGTGAGAAATTTTAACTACCATCGGTTAAGTTTTCTGACTCTGGCATCAAATGGGGCTTCCTAAAGAGTGTAAAGTTCAGGTTCCACAAAACCTGGATCTGCCCCAGGCAGTGAGATCATAGAAACTGAAGTCTTGCATCATATGCAGGGGAAGGATATTTAGCAGTTATTCACGTGTGTATGTGAGGGGATATGTGTTTATGTGTATATTATGTACATGTGTGGGTGTCTGATGTGTTACAGGTGTATATATATATATATATTCATTGCCTATATACCTCCTAGAAGAGCAAAAGTTTGCAGCATAACAATTTTAGTAACAAAAAAAAAAGAAAGAAAAAAGGAAAGGAATGAAGGAAAAAAGGAGAGAAAAAAAAAAGCAAGGATCTTTGAAACTGTTTAGGTTAATTGTTGAATAAGTAAAGCAGTAAGAATTTTTTACTGTAATCATTTTTCCAAGTAGCAGGAAATAGATTCTTCAATATAATTTTATAACCATTTCAGTTTTTTTTACATATAACTTCCTGATATTTTAAACCATATTTTTTATATTAAAGTATTTGGAGAAATACTCCTGGTGAATTGTATTATTCCTTATAATGACATCTCTATTAGTCCTGTTTATGGTAAATTGTTGACATGGTTACTTGTAATGTTCCTTAAAAATCTGAGATGATAGAGATGAAAAACTGTAGGTGGTTTTATTGAATTATCTTGGATGTTGTTTTGACTTGCATTTTTATTCACAAATAAAGTTAAGGGGTTGTATAAGACCAAATTTGACATACTTCAACATAGCTCTAGATTTCGGGCAATGTCAAGATAAGTAATGTTTTGTCTAACTTAGTTTATCACCAGTTTAGCTACCAAGGAAATCAGATGTTTAATTTAAACAGTTCTCATATTTTTGCAATAAATTTTTTTTATATGAAACAAAGGATAGTAAATCAATGCCCAGGCACCTTCTTTGGAAGCAAAAACAGTGTCTAGAATATGGGGAATCTGAGACAAGTTTTATTTGCAAGCAAAGCATCCGTTGTTTGAAATACATTGAGCTGTCTCTAGACATCTCAGGCACACCATAGTGGCTTTCCTTCGAAGCAAAAGATATTTATAGCTTTCTTTGTTTTTATTCTCACCCGAGGATATTTTTCCCGTTGATTTTTATAGAGAGTGAGAAGAAGAGAGGGAGACAGAGAAAAACACCAATATGAGAGAGACACATCGATTGGTTGCCTCCGGAATGCCCCCCAGAGCCTGCAACCGAGATCCGTGCCCTTGACCAGAATCGAACCCAGAATCCTTTGGTCTATAGGCCAACACTCTATCCACTGAGCCAAGCCAGCTAGGACCATAGCTTCCTTTCTCTGTGCCTATTTATTTCTCCTCTCTTCCCCATTCCCTCCCTTTCAGAAGAATTTGTTTGCTTCATGAAATTTACAGTCTAAAAAATCACAGAAGAAAGAACACATATGTATATATTGAAAATCTAGGAAAAATTTTTGTTATACATTATCAATATATTCTAACCAGAAAACATTTACCATTTTTAATGATTGCATATGGGGAAAATACAACTTCTACTCTAATTTGAAATTCATTCTATTGTTACTTGCAGTGATAAGTTATGCAATGGATTTCAGCGTGGGGCATATCCTCCAGTGGACTGCCAAATTCTCTGGTATTTCTGATAATAGATGAAGGCAAGAGTATGCTAGATACAATTCTCACTACTTTCAAAGACAGAAACGAGTAGATAAGTCATAAAAGTACAAGCCCCTGATAGAAAATTATGGTCATTCTAGAAACAGGAATCTTAAACAGGCTAAATAAAAATCGGATTACTGAAAACACAATTATGTTTCCTCAGATGAACCGCACAGCCCTGCATTTTGCAGTGGGGGCAGATCATTTATCTGCGGTGGATTTCTTGCTTAATCGCAAGGCCAGGGTGGATGTTGCTGATAAGGTAAGCTCATCTTCCTTTGGTAGAATGAACTGGAGCGGAACGAATGTGTGGGGAAATCTGCTCACTTCAGTTATCTTTTCTTCACATATGCACAAAATGTTTCCATTGGCAGTACTCATTTTGGAAAGGTCTCTTTGAGAATATATGTATTATGTGCTCTGTATTTGGCGACAAAATTGCTTATCCATTGCCTTTAGGACTTAGGCTATTATTTATTTTCCCATATTCACATTATGGCTAGTAGCATGCATTTGTAAAAATAAAATGGTTGCTCAGAGTATAATTTGGGACATGGAAGATAGAAGCTAACTGGCCTCAGGGACATTAAATCTCGACTTTGCCCTGTGAACTCTGATAAAGAAATAAGGGTTGTGCTTACTTCGGCAGCACATATACTAAAATTGGAACGATACAGAAAAGCTTAGCATGGCCCCTGCGCAAAGATGACACGCAAATTCGTGAAGCGTTCCATATAAAAAAGAAAGAAGGCTTAATAAACATATAGTATGTACTAGGTATCAGTCTTAGGATTTGAATATTTAGTCCCTCAAACTTGTAGGAAAAGTAATACTATAATAATCAATTTACAGATGTGGAGTCTGAGAAAGATTAAATAGCTTGCCCCCCAAAATTACATCTAAGAAGGGGTGGAGGCAGGATTTGGACCTGGCTTAACTGATTCCAGAGACCATACCATTACCCACAAATCAGCCAATGTGTCTGCTCAGATATGAAAACCATCGTGAGGATTTTCCACCCACTTTTCCCAACTTTATCTAGTACTTTACTGTGGTACAAGGAGCCCATTTGGGCTGGAGAAATCCAACATCATGTTTATCATCTCCAGTTGCAAAAAGAGATGATAGCCTTGGTTTTTAGATAATCCAGTGGACCATGGTTTTGAAGTTAAACTGTTCAGAAGATTCCCACAGAGCTAGTCTATTTTCTCTCTGAAATGACTCTTTGGAGGGTAAGGCTCAGCGTTGCTCTACCTTCATGTCTTACAGAACTTGGGTTTAGTATGTTCTTAGTAAGTCTTTGGAAGGTAAATGAATGAGGTCCGTTCAAACCAATTGATCATTTTGTTGGTTTTGTTGGCAATCATAGATGTGGTCTAGACAGATAATGATGAGAATTTCTCCTTGTTTCACCAGTAGGGTACATCCCTCTCTATTTTATTGCTCTGGTATTGTTGGGCAAGTGGATTGGTCAGTAACAGAAGCAGAATGAAGAACGATACAGAGGGACACCAGAAGCACTCCAACATTGTGAGTGTATAAGTTGTGTTATGGTAATGGTACTTAAGGAACATGTATTTTAGGTCTGGAAATTGTTGTTTATTTTTCAGTGTTAGTTAGCCTGCAAAAGATACTTTGGTCATAGACCTGATTGCGAAGAATCTATTCTTCTTTTGACATTGAAATCCTGGTACAATAACTTTTTTATTTTATTTTAATTCTTTTTTAATTGATTTTTTAGAGAGGGGAAGAGAGACAGAGAGGCAGAGACAGAGACAGAATGAGAGAGAGAGAGAGAGGAGAGAGAGAAAAACACGGATTTGTTGTTCCACTTATTTATGCATTCATTATAATTCATTCTTGTATGTTCCCTGACCGGGTATTAAACCCACAACCTGGGACGATGCTGAACCAACTGAGCTCCCTGGCCAGGGCCTTTACTTTAATTCTTATATTAATAGACCATACAATTAAGTTTGGGTGTGTGTGTGTGTTTTGGCATACAGTGCTATGAATTTTAACACATGTTCATAGATTCATGTAGCCACCACCCCAATCAAAATACTAAACATTTGCATCATGCTGCTGTTTGTACTCAACCCCCCTCCCCCAACCCTGGCAACCACTTATTTCTTCTCCATCTCTATAGTTTTGCCTTTTTGAGAATGCCATGTAAACGATATTGTATAGTATATATAACCTTTGACACTGGCTTCTTTCACTCAGCAAAATGGCTCTGTTGTATGTGTCAATAATTCTGCCCTTTTATTGCTGAATAGTATTCCACCGTATGGCTGTAACACCGTTTGTTTATCCATTTACCAGTTGAAGGACATTAGAGTTGTTTACAATTTTTTACCATTCCTTGATTTATTTATTTTATTTTACATTATTTTATTTTATTGTTGACAGTATTACAGATGTCTCCCATTTTCTCCCTTTTTTGTCCCCCTCCACCCAACCCTTCCCCACCCCAGGTTTTCCATGCTATTGTCTGTGTCCATGGGTTATGCATATATGTTCTTTGGTTAATCTCTTCCTGACCGTTCCCCCGCAACCTCCCACCCCACTGAAGTCTGTTATTCTGTGTTTCCGGGGGAAGAGGAGGGGGTTGTTTGTGTTAGAAAATATTTTATTAATTTTAGAGAGGGAGAGATAGAAATATCAATGATGAGAGAGAATCATTCCCGTCCCACACTGGGGATCGAGCCCACAACCTGGGCATGTGCCCTGACCGGGAATCAAACCATGACCTCCTGGTTCATAGGTCAGTGCTCTACCACTGAGCCACGCTGACCGGATGTCCAGTTTTTAATTGTTACAAATAAACCTTCTAAAAACATCCATGTATAGGCATTTATATAAGCACTAGAGGCCCAGTGCATGAAGTTTGTGCACTCGGGTGGGGGGGTGTCCCTCAGCCTGACCTGCGCCCTCTAACAGTCCGGGACCCCTCGGGGGATGTCTGGGAGCCCTCGCTCCTTACCACCCACCTGCTTGCTGCTCCTTACCACTTGGCTCATTGCTCCTTAGCACTGCCGGAGGCAGGAGATGCTCCCACCACTGCCGCTGCACTAGCCAACCGTGAGCCCGGTTTCTGGCTGAGCAGTGCTCAGCATTGAGCATCTGCCCCCTGGTGGTCAGTGCGCATCATAGCGACCAGCTATTCTGCCGTTTGGTTGATTTGCATATTAGCCTTTTATTATATAGGATAAGTTTTCATTTCTTAGGTGTAAATACCTAGGAGTGAGATTACTGGGTCATATAGTAAGTGATGTACAAGAAGCTTCCAGACAGTTTTCTAGAGTGGCTGTTCCATTTTCATTCCCACCAGCCATATAGCAGAGTTCCAATTGTTTCACATCTTCATCAGAACTTGATATTGTCATTGCTTAATTTTAGCCATTCTGATAGGTTTGTATTGGCTTCTCATTGTGGTTTTAATTTGCATTTCTTTAATGGGAGGTTGTGTCTTTTCTTGTGTTATTTACCCTTCATATATCTTTTTTGGTGATATATCTATTCAAATCTTTTGAATTTTTTAAAAAAAATTGGTTGTTTGTTTTCTTATTTTTGATTTTGAGAGTTATGTATTATAGATACAAATATTTAGTCAGACAGGTGATTTGCAAATATTTTCTCATATTCTGTAGCTTTTTCCTGTTTTTTCAGACCAAAAGTTTTAAATTTTGATGAAGTGCAATTTACTTATATATTTTTATATAGTTTTAAAAATTGATTTTAGAAAGAGAGGGAGAGGGAGAGAGAGATAGAAACATCAGCTGCCTCCTGCATGCCCCCTACTTGGGTATCAAACCAGTAACCTCTTGGTGCATGGGGCGACACTCAACCAACTGAGCCACAGCAGCCGGATACTTATCCTAGATAATAAAAGCCTAATATGCAAATTGACCAAAGGGTGGAACGACCGGTGGAACGACCAGTTGCTATGATGCGCACTGACCACCAGGGGGCAGATGCTCAACGCAGGAGCTGACCCCAGCCCACAGGCCCCAGGCTGGCCAAGGCAGGTGCTAGCAGGGACCCCCCCCGATTGCCCCGCCGGTCACCCTGCAGAGGGAGGTGAATGGTGGTGGTGGTGGAGCGGGGCCCGTGAGTGGGCGGTGCCAGGCTGGCCAAGGCAGGTGCCAGCAGGGGCCCTTGATCGCCCCACCAGTCACCCCACAGATTGGCCCTGATCACTGGCCAGGCCTAAGGACCCTACCCGTGCACGAATTTCTGGATCTGTTTCACCTGTACAACATTCAGGGGCCAGTCTGAGACTTGGGCAGTGGTCTAGCTGTTCTCCAAGCTTTTGTCAAGCTGTTTAGGTTCAGGTCCATGTACAGGTCAGGGGTGAGGCCAGGGATACATACACAACTTTATGGGATTGCTTTCTTGAGCTTCACTTCTCCAAGACCATCTCCCCTTATTTTCCAGCTTCAGGGCCCCTCTTCCCCCTTTTCCTGGTCCTCTGACTAGAGAGTTAAGGGTGTGGTCTCCCAGCTCCACTATGTATTTCTCACAGTTGGGTCTGCCTCCAGGACTAAGAGAAGAAAAGAAGTAACATGAGTTCCCACTCCCACTCCTGCCCCCTCTCTGACCACAATTTTTCTGGTCAGAGAGAAGGATTCCCACTGTCAGAGTTTTAGGTGCTTGCCCAATCACTGCTGCTACCCCTCCTACCACAGGGTTACAGCTTTGGGAGTGAGGCTTGCCTGGGGCAGGGCCAGAAGAGAAAAAAGAAACAGGATTTCCTTTCCCTTTTCTGTCCTATAGAGTCCCCCTTCTGCTCCTTAGACCAGAGAGGGCTTCTCTTGGAGCTTTTTCTGTCCCTGCCCAGGGTGTAGTTCCGTGATTTGCACTTCCATGAGTCTAAGTGGGAAGGTATGAAAGGAAAAAACAAACAAAAAAATCAGCAAACCCTAATTGTTTATAGTTTGGGTTCTGGTTTTCTTCCCCAATCTACCTGTTACCATTTACTTTTCAGATTTCTCAAATAGCTTCTCCATGCATTCTGTCCAGAGATTCTAGTCACATTTGGTGAGAAAGACAGGGTCCTGGTTCCCCATCTTAACTAGGACCGAAAACCCACATCTTTAATCCTATATAATAAAAGCCTAATATGCTAAGTGTCTGGTCATCTGGTTGGTTATTCAACCAATCAAGGTGTAATATGCTAATGGTATGCTAAGGCCACTCAAGTGCTCGCTATGATGTGCACTGACCACCGGGGGGCAGACGCTCCAACCAGTAGGTTAGCTTGCTGCTGAGGTCCGGCCAATCCCTGGCTCGCCAACCTCTCGCATCCCTCCCTGGCCCCGATCATGCACCAGTGAGTCCCTCGGCCTGGCCTGTGCCCTCTCACAATCTGGGCTGAGGGACTTCCCCCCACCACCCCCCCCCAGTGCATGAATTTCATGCACCGGGCCTCTAGTATGCTATAAAAGCAAATAGAATTGTACAATAAATACCTATGTATTCATTGCGTAGGTGGAATAGCATTTTTCTTTTAAACACCTTGTTTCTAATATATTAAATATACTACTGGTTTATGTCAGAGTATAAGTCAATTATTCACAAAATATTTTACCAACTTATTCTATTTGAGGCTTTTCCCATTTGGAAGCTTCTTGTAATTTGCTTTATGAGACTGAAGTGCTGTCAGGTAAAAGGTATAGTAATTTATGATGTGTCACTATACTCTGCCTCAACAGGTTCACTAAGTTAAATATTCCTATAACTAATTTAATTACAGTGGCATTAGTATATAACTAATAAGATGATTTTTATAATTCAAGCAATGCCATGTTTGGTCAAACCTGGCAGCTTCTTTATTCAGTTGAGAATCCCTGACTTTGACTTGGCAAATCTGTTTTGTAAGTTCTATCACCTAGTTGCAAAGAGTCAATAATGGAAGCTCTTCACCATCAGTATTTACTCAGTGCTAGTTGTGGGTAAGTCTCAATGCCAACTTCTGGGGATTCAACTAGATACAAGTTCTTGCTTCTCAAAGTGTGGTCCTGGACCAGAAGCACTGGTATCACCTGGGAGCTTCTTAGAAATGCAGACTCTCAGGCCCACCCCTTACCTTTTGAATTAGAATCTGTGACTTAGCAGGATCCCCAGGTGATTGTGTCTGGGAGGACTGGCATGAGATACAGTCCCTGCTTTGAAGGGCCTGTAACCTCCTGGGGGAGCAAGGACCAGGACTGTCACATGTGTACCATTTGAGGCACTGCATGACAAGGATCAGATGCATAGCCCACATGCTGAGGACTCCAGGTTCAACGTGGGTAGCATTCCAGAGTCTTGGGAAGAGGCAGAATAGGTAAAAGGAAGCTCTTCTTCCAGATGTGAGCAAAGGATGCCGGGTGGAGGGCACATGATGCTCAGAGAATAATGACCATCATCTGCTCTCAGAGCTTCTTATTTCTGGGAAACTCCTCAAGAGCAAATGTTCCCAGCGGAAGTTGTTGACCTTCTCACCTATGACCAGACTGGTGATGAGGACAGGTTGTTAGTGGTGGTGGCATTTCATACTGTACGGAGCATCGTGTACTGACACGGTAATCCATGACACGTGCTCATAAACTGCCTCAGGCATGTCAGTTTGATAGTACAAGACTTAGTTTTATGACGGTCCTCGTGGGGGGAATTGACATCTGTGAGTGGTGATTCTTTGCCTCTGAGGAACAATGGTTCCACTCCGAATTTATGGCTTCTGAGACTCAAGTTGTTTGCAGCTTGAATTCCTGGCTTTTGGATTTTATGGTCAGTGTTTGAAATCTTTAAGTGTTGGTGGATTGAAAATTAGGAGTGACCTCTTAGGGAAATTTTGAGCTCCTATCAAAATGTGATTTATCCTCTATCCCAAATATTTCTGACCTCTTTTTTTGACCATATGTGAAACTGGACTTAGTGCTATTGGATATAAAGCATTAATTGTAAATTAATGGGAGGAACTGTGTTTAGGGCACATTTCCTGAAGAACCTCAACTAGTTATTGTACATTGTTGAACTTTGAGGAAAAGAGTACAGAAATTGGTAAACATTTTCTTTATACTGGAATTATAAATATTTAAATAGACTATGTGGGCCTAACTCCATAATACACATCAGCAACAATGTAATATTTTTTATCCAAATGTTTTAAATTTAGTTTGTTGAATACATAGATGTGGAACCTGCAGATATGGAGGACCAACTGTATATACATACACACATATGAGTTTTTCTGGTAATTGCTTGTTTTATAAAAATGGGATTATGTTATATTTTATCTGCATCTTATTTTTTACATTTTAACAGCTACCTCATGGAAAGCACTCCAAGTCAATTGTTATAGCTCTAATTCACGATTTTTATTTTTTATTTATTTATTTATTTATTTTTTTAAACATATTTTTATTGATTTTTTACAGAGAGGAAGAGAGAGGGATAGAGAGTTATGGAGGACCAACTGTATATACATACACACATATGAGTTTTTCTCCTACTGGGGGTGTGCCCGCAACCAACGTACATGCCCTTGACCGGAATCGAACCCGGGACCTTTCAGTCCGCAGGCCCATGGAAAGCACTCCAAGTCAATTGTTATAGCTCTAATTCACGATTTTTAATGGCTGCATGATGTGTTCCCTAATTTGTTCAACATTCCTATATTGATAGACATTTGCCTTGCTCCCAATTTTAAGGGTTAAAATTAATATCCTTGTTGATATAACATTAAGTCTTAAAACTTATTTTCATGGGATAGATTCCCAGGAGTGGGATTGCTGGTTGTATTTAAAATTTTAATAGAGATTGACAGATTGCTTAAATATAATGGCTTCATTTTCCACTGATAACTTTTTTGGTACACTTTTCAATTGGTTTAATTTCCTTTTTCTTGTTGATTTGCAAGAGTGCTTATATATTAGAGAAAGTAACCATTTATCTTTATTAAGAAACATTTAGAGAATCAATCCTTTGTTATGGACTTTGTTTATCAACAGTCTTTCCTTTTATAACTTCTGGATTAAGATATTGTGCATTGCAGTCTAGATTTTCTTCTAAGGTATTTATTGTTTGTGTGCTTTTGTGTGTTTGTGATAAGATATAGGACTTAATTTTATTTTCTTCCAGATAGAGAACCACTTGTGCCTGCACCATTTATTTGTTTTCCCCATAGAAACGAAATATCATCTTTGCTGTATATGAAATTCTCTCCCTGTTTCTTACTTTTCAACAGTTGACTATTAACTTGTCTTTTGGTGACTTCACATGTGTTCTTTTCTTCTCTCTTCTTGGGAAAGCATGGCTTGACAGTAATTCACCTTGCAGCCTGGTCTGGAGGCCTCGAGATCATGCTCATGCTGGTTAGAGCTGGAGCAGACCAGAAAGCCACGAATCGGGTCGGTATGTGGGTCACTCCTGGACATAAGCTCTCACCTCACAGTGCAGGAAGGGGAGGTCTTGAGATCACTATGTGATTACCTCCTCTCACCTGGCTGTCCTCAGGATGGAATGAATGCCCTTCACTTCGCAGCTCAGAGCAATAATGTGCGCATTTTGGAGTACCTCATTCAAGATCTGCACCTGAAGGACCTGGACCAGCCTGATGAGGTACACTTGCTATGGTAGGACAGGTCTCCCATACACCCCTATCAACTTCCCCTTTCTTTCTGCCCCTGCTGGAATGCCCGTGCAGCCAGCACAAACCTGCAGCCAGCTCTTCCATTGCCCTGGCAGAACCATGGAGCAGAAGGGAAGTGCGGGTGTTGGCCATGGCCCTGGCTCCAGCGTGTGGGAGGGCAGGAGGTAGTAAGGAAGCCACCAGATCCCTTCTTCCCTCTCTACTCCTTCATCCTGGCAGGGGTGTGGGCAGTATCCACAACTGTTTGGTATTCACAATGAGTAACCACACTTTACTCTGTGATGCCTGGCCTTTTAGGAATGTACTTGACCCAAGCCTCTACAGTGCCGGAAGCCAATTCCAGCATGTCATAATTGCAAGAGTTTCATCAAAAGGTTGATGGAACTTGGGGACTCAACAAGGGCTGAGTCACATGTGTTGTCACCTGTTGGGAATGGCTGAGGGCATTTCCCCAAACCTGAAAAGGGATGATTGCTTGCTGCCAGACAGCTCAGGGCATCTTAATCTACATGTTATTGCCTCCTACTGGCCAAACACCTGAACAGCCATAGGCAAATTCTTCCAATCTGACAATGGGTTCTGTACCTAACCCTACCCTTTGAAGTGTATATCTCCACCTCACCTTAGGACAAATTGTGTTAATAAAAAGCAAAGGGTCCTGAGAGAGGAGATCTTAGTTTCTTTAGCTAAGCTCCTCTGACTCCCAAATGCCTTTCAAAATTATGCTTCGTCTCTGGACTCTTTAAGTTACACACAGCCCTTCTCCAGATTGCTGAACCCTTCTAGATGCTGGAACAAGAACCCTGGCACTACAGCAATGAGCCATGGAATATAATGCAATTTTATCATATTTGTCCATGTTTCTTTTATTTTCATAAGGAGATATAATAACAGCTTTTGAGTAGTTATTAATGTGCTAGGTACAGAGGAAAGCTACTTACATTCATTATTTCAGTGAGAGGCTAGAGCCTGGCACACTTGGATGTTAAACAAATCATTGCTGAATGAATGAATTATCCTATTCATCTGCACAATAATTTTATAATGAAGAAAATAGTGTGCTCATTGTTAAAGGTAAGGAAGTTGAGGCTCAGAGAGGCTAAGTACTTGATCTGAAGTCCCAAAATTAGAAAGTGAAAGAGCCAGGTTGCGTGTTCAGGTCTGGCTGACTCCACTTACCGTGCAGTACTGTGTCCCTTTGCAGATGACAGTGGCCATTGCCCACGTGCTAGGGATTGTCTTTTCTCTGCAGTATCTCTTAGGTGTTTTTTTCATAGGATAGTATTCTCTGTGAATACTATCCTATGGCTTGAGGGGGGGGGCATTTTTATTTTGAATGAAACCACCTTTTCACTGTACCTCCAGAACATTATTTTCCATAAAAGTCTCTAAAAGTTAGTCAGCAATATTTACTTCATTTTACTTCTTTTAAAAAAACTTTTACATTTTTTTCCTGACCTCAGTCTAAAAACAAAATAACAAAAGCTATTTCTTCAAATAAAGTCTATAAATTTCTTTTACTTCCTCTGAGTATGACTAAGTAACTATACATTTATAGCTTGGAGGTAGAGAGACTTGGGCTATGGTCTGGGCATATATTATCTATGTGGCTCTAAGCAAGTTCTCCAGCTGCTGAAAGCCTCAGTATCTCCATCTGTACAATGGGAATAATAAAATCTACTTCATGGTAGCACCAAGGGAAAGATTGGAGGGGGATTGACCTCTATATAATTTTTTTTTCCAGCAACACCCCCATTTCTTGATGTAGACAATTGGCATTTTGTCAATTTTTTATGTAAAAATGGCTATGCTGATGAGCTTCATGGTGAGCCATTCCATCACCCCTTTCCAATCAGACATTACCCCTAAAACATTCTTATGTAGCAAATATTGGAGCAGCCACTATTGGAATGCTTAAATGAGTTAATGACTAAAGCACTTAGCAAAAAGCACTTGGCACATGGTAAGTGTTCACTAAATGGTAGCTATTATAACAATTATTATAGGATAAAGTCCACTATCTGATTTCCTCAAACCAATAATTACAGTCAGATAGCATCTAGTGTCAGGGAAAAGTTGGATCATTCTGGTTTGATGGGTGCTGAGTAGGGGTGCAGCCTCTGAATGAATTCTATTCGGTTCAATTCAGCAGGAATTTGTTGAGGGCCTGTCATATATAAGACACACGACTGTCTTCCTTTTTTGTGGACTCTGGCTGCTTTCATGGGAGACAGCAGTGTGTGGGGAGGACCAGGCGGGCTGAAAGGGCTCAAAGATCAAAGCACATTTGTGGAGACCCTCCCCTATTTCAAGAGCTTCTGCTGGCCAGCAACCTTTGTGAAGGTGGAGCAGTCTTTTCTATCAAACTAGAGGCTCGGTGCACGACATTCTTGCATGGGGGTAGGGGGCTCCTCAGCCCGGCCTTTCACAGTCCGGGAGCCCTTGGGGGATGTCTGACTGGCCTAAGCCGCAGTAGAACATCCTTAGTGCTGAGCTCCGCTCAGCCGGGTTTGTGGCTGAGCGGAGCTCCCCCTGTGGGAGCACACTGATCACCAGGGGGCAGCTCCTGCATTGAGCATCTGCCCCCTGGTGGTCAGTGCGCATCATAGTGACTTGTCATTCTGCTGTTTGGTTGATTTGCATATTACCCTTTTATTACATAGGATGTGTTTCATCTCTTCAGCTGGTCTGGGTTTGTCCTGTTCCACCCTTCTTCCTCCTCCTCTGACTATCTGTTGGGTAAAAGGCTGAGGAGCCTTGGCAACAGACTGTGCAAGCTACATGTCCAGCTGAGAGATCTTAAAAGAAAGATGGCTCTAGAGCAGGGGTGGGCAAACTTTTTGACTCAAGGGCCACAATGGGTTCTTAAACTGGACCGGAGGGCCGGAACAAATGTATGGATGGAGTGTTTGTGTGAACTAATATAAATTCAAAGTAAACATCATTACATAAAAGGGTACGGTCTTTTTTTTTTTTTTTAGTTTTATTCATTTCAAACGGGCCGGATCCGGCCCGCGGGCCGTAGTTTGCCCACGGCTGCTCTAGAGATATATGAGGAATGAACAAATAATGAGCCCACTTGGTCATCTAGGGAGAGAAGAATCTCTGAGTCCACTTTTAGTACTGTAAGAAACTTGGATTGATCAATTCCAAAGACAATGTCTATTCTTTTTCTAAGATCTGTAGGTGGGGTGAAGGATGCTGGCAAAAGCTAGTGGGAGATCAGGGTCTATGAATTTATCATTAGGTTTTCTGTCAGTGTTTACTTAAAAGTATTGTGGCGCTCGTGAACACATTTGATAGAAAAGACTGCTCTACCTTCATGGTTGGCCCTCTGGCATAGTGTCTTATCAACAGAAAGTGATTAAGAGCCTGCTTATCTGCCCAGGCTTAGGGAAGTCCTTTCTTTAGCATGGAGGGAACTCCAGATGCTAGCAAGGAAAGCTCTACTGTGCAGAGGTCTTATTAATAAAATGGATTTGTCTGGGATTCCCGTGGAAATGGATGGTCAGGTTGGACTTTGGGTGCCCGTTAATGACTGTTTATTAACATTTTTGCTGAATTTAGTAACTTGTCAAATATGATGACCCTGGCAGTAAACTTAAAAATGAAAAATAGAAAGAGATTAATCAAAGAACATATATGTATATATGCAGAACCCATGGACGCAGACAATGGCATGGGGAAGACCTGGGCTAGGTTGGGGCAAAAAGGGAGAAAATTGGAGACATCTGTAATACTGTTAACCATAAAATAGAATTTAAAAAAAGAAAAATAATTTCTAATCAACAATTGCAACTCTTAAGACTTACATGCAAAAAATTTAAATGCACTCAATTAAAACGTGTTAGGTTAAATATACATTAAGTTAATACAGGAAAAAAGGAGCAGGCATTCTGGGCCCTTTTTATTTTTGTTAGTAGGAAAGGGAATCAGTAACCTGAGCTGGGAAGGCATTGTGATTGTCTGGGCCCCGAAGTCTGGGACTCTGACACCAGGCTCTACTTTTCTCCTGGTGGAAAAATCTCCCTGCCTCCTTGCCTTCGAAGTGAGAGGTAGTCCCATGAGATGTAGTGGATAGAGGCCTATCCAGTTAAAAAGGGTCAGGTGGCTAAAAATGAAATGACATCATCAGAAACTATATTTAAAAACATTTATTTAAAAATTCCTGTCGTTATTTTGCCTACATGTACTAGGATGGTAGAAAAGATTTATATTGCATTTTACTGTTTCTTTAGGCTATGTTTGGTATTTTCTATTTACTAGATGGGATGCTGCTGCCCGATTCATGAACTGTTGAATAAAGCCAATTAGATCTTTAACTTAATATACATATACTTTATGATATTTCTGATGTTCATAAGGTATAGATTACTTTGTATAAATTGGCTTGTTGTTGATGGTCACATTTTTAAAGGGCATTCAAAGTTTAAAGGAACAACTGTTTTGTTGGCGAGGAAAGATGTTTCATTTGTGATAACCTCCCATTTCCTGCCAGGCTATTCTTTGTGGGTGGGTCCTCTTATCACTTTGTTTCAATATGCAGAAATGCAAGACTTATGGCAAAGGTAAAAGAATAAGGCCATTTTAAAGTTGAACAGAGCCTCTGAGATACTCCTAGTAGTGTCTGTCCCCAATCTACTTAATATGTATTAGTTAGAATTCTTTCTGTTATGAGTTGGGGGGGAGGAGGGGAGCAGCTTAATCTAGATTAAGAAATAAGGTAATTTATTAACTCCTAAATTTGAGGGGGAGGGGAAAGCAGCTTAATCTAGATTAAGAAATAAGGTAATTTATTAACTCCTAAATTTGAGGGTATATCTGGCTAGCTTCAGGCATGGCTGGATCCATCTCCTGGCCTTCTCTGTGTTGGCATTATTGATAGGTATACTCTCCACAAGGTGGGAAAGACGGCTGCTAGCAGCCTCCAGTTTATACTCTTATGGACATTCTTAAGTATTTTATTTATTTACTTATTTACTTTTACATATGTTTGTATTGGTTTGAGAGAGAGAGGAAGGGGGAGGGAGAGAGAGAGAAACATTGATGTGAGAGAGTAATACCAATCAGTTGCCTCTCGTATGTACCCCGACCATGGATGGAACCCATAAACTGGGTGTGTGCCCTGTTCGGGAATTGACCAGCAACCTCTTGGTGCCTGGGATGATATTCAACCAACTGAGCCACACTGGCCAGGGCTGAATAATACCTACTTTCTTGATTCCATTTCATAAAGACCAGCGGTTCTCAACCTGTGGGTCGAGGCCCCTTTGGCGGTTGAATGACCCTTTCATAGGGGTCGCCTAAGACCATCCTGCATATCAGATATTTACATTACGATTCATAACAGTAGCAACATTACAGTTATGAAGTAGCAACGAAAATAATTTTATGGTTGGGTCACAACATGAGGAACTGTATTTAAAGGACCAGAAGGTTGAGAACCACTGTTCTAGGAGCATTTAAGCCAGGCTTTTAGCCAAGGACCCTGGCCAACAGGGGAGCCTCCATTTGTTTATTTGTGTGTGTATGCACTCTTTTCTGACTATCTGGCGAGATGATCAGGATTAATGGATTTAACTTAATTAAAGGTGATCCCAGGAACTTGGTTCTTTTGGATGAAAGTTAGGACGGATGTTTTAGAAACTCAAAAAGAACATGAATCACCTCGGGTGGATTGTAGGTGTGCTGTGCCTTCAGGAATCACTATAGGGATGGAGTCCTGAGGTCACAGGGTTTAATTTAAAGTCTTAGTCGTGCTCGCCCTGCTCTGTTTTAATGTTTGACCACTGGAATGTGTGTACTTGGGTTTCATCCACCTTTTGGCTATTTTTGAGTCAGGGCCCATTGGGGAGAACTCGTAACATCCAGCAAACTGTAATTACAGGTTATGATAGGCTTCCTTGCACAAAGTAGAGTGTCTGTGATATTGCTAGCCTTTTGGACAAGGCCCATAACATCCATACCGTCCCCGGCTGCCTCTGTTTCTTGGGAGAAGCTGTTGCCAGAGCAGCTGGAGTGGCCTATGTGAATATGCTCTAGACTAGAGCGATTGCCTCCAAACATGTTTGGTAGCAAACTCATGTCAGGAAACAAAGTTTGTGCGTGTGCCGGCCACATATGTATTTATAGTTAACACATTACAAAACATATGCCTGAAATAGACATTTTAAAAAATTGAGATAAGAATCAAGATAAACAGCAGTTCTCATATTTCCCTGACATTGAAATGATTCCCTTGTATACCTCTCGTGTGTTTTCCTGCCAGTTTTCTTTGAATTCCCATGCATGTATACATTGTAGTGGATGCCCCAAATTCATTTCGTTTATTATTTAGTTAGTTTATTTCAGTTTTCCTTTATTATATGCTATCATGAACCTCTTGGTGCATAACCCTTAGTTTGAATTCCTCACTATTTCCTTTGGGTGTATTCTTAGAGGTAGGATTGTTGGATCAAAGATATGAACGTTTATTAGGCTCTTAATATGTTAAAGATGTGAATTCTTTCCTTCACATTTTGTGCAAATGTTTTTCCACTGGGGTTTGCCTTTTGGCATCTCTTTTCCTGGGAAAATGAGAAGGTAGGTTATGAGGAGAAATTCTGTTGTAACAGATGGCTGTCCCAGGCACTCAGGTGAGGCAGCGGGGACACAGTTTTTCCATCTGGTTGGAATGGGAACTTGTTTCCATGCTCTTGCAGCCCCGTTACCATGATTGTTCATATCGAAAGAGCTACAAGTAGAACCTCTGAGCTGTCCTGATGCAGTTCTTAAGGATGTTTTTCTTAACATCCAACAGGGGAAATGGTTTTAGGAAAGAATCTGCACGAGGAGGGGAAAATGTCCAAGTAGTTGTTATAGGAGACCAGTTTCTTTTCTCTCTCTATTTTGGCCTAAACTAAACTCACTCTGTCCTGTTAGGTTTGTCATAAGTTTCAAGAAACTTAATTATTACGGAAATAGCATATTACTTTTAAAAAATGACATACAACATTTTAAGTCATTTTTAAAGGTTAAAGCTGCACTTGGTACACATGTGCTTCTATTTTTGTGTTTCCCTGCATCATAAGTCCTTGTTTCTGTGATTATCTTTCTTAACAAGCTGTAACCGTCTGATGGGTAGGGTCTGTGTCATGTTTGTCTTTTCCATCCCAGTGCCTAGCAGTGATAGATAGTGGGTGTCTATTAAATGTTTTCTGGATAAATTAACAAAGGTTAAGGTTATGAGTGATGGAGGGAAACAGTTTGAAAGGAGGCAGCATAACAGAGTAAAGAATTCAGGTTTGGGAGCCAAACAGCTGGACTTGCATCGTAGTTTTGCCACTTTTCAACTGAGGCTCAGTTTCTTTATCTGTAAAATGAAGATAATATTAATTCTGATCTCATGGGGTTGTTGTGGAACTTAACTGTGCCAAAGCATAGTCTTGGCAAAATATGTTGGCACATAGATGCTTAATAAATGCTATCCATTATCAAGAGTAATGCACAAATGCTATCCATTAGTAAGAGTAAAGCACACTGTTTCTCAAGCAGCTTCATTCCGTGACAAGAGGTAATTCATTTTTACATTTTCCCTTTTGTTAGAATGGAGAAACACCCTTCTTCCCAGCTGTTGCAGGAGGTCATGAAGAATGCAGCAAAGTGCTGGTGGCAGCAGGAAGTGCTATCAACATTCTAAATAAAGTATGTGTTCCACTCACGCAGTGGGAGGGGCACGCAGGATGCTCTTTGGGTAATCGGGTCCTGTGTTGGTCCACTCACTGGGCTTCTGTAGAGTTAATATTTATAATTGGTTTTGTTTGGGGTAAACATTATTGATTTAGCTCTGATATCCCCTAGTTAATGTCTCCTCAAAAGCAATGCCATTCTCCCTAGTTATTTTTAAAAATTTTCATTTAAAAAAAATTTTAAAGAGAGGAAGGGAAGGAGGGAGAAGGAAAGGGAGGAGAGAGAGAGAGAGAGAGAGAGAGAGAGAGAGAGAGAGAAACATCAATGTAAGAGAGAAACATTGATTGGTTGTTTCCCTTATGTGCCCTGACTGGGGGTTGAACCCGAAACACAGGCATGCACCCTGACTGGGAATTGAACCTGCCACCTTTTTTGTGTACGCGACGATATTCCAACCAACTGAGCCACATTGGCCAGGGCTCTCCCTATTTATTTGGGGAAGGAATCATTGAAAATGGGGCAAAAGGAGCAGATAGTTGTTACTTCTCAAATACAGAGACACTCTTATTTTGCTTTATTTTCACCCTACCGACTAGTGCTTGCCTGGTTTTTGTCAACCCATAGTAGGGGTTGACAAAAAAATTTTGTTTTAATTGTGTGCAAGCCCAGGGGTCAGTCTGGAGCCTGGAGAAGGCAGGAAGGTGCCTTCCTGTGAATACAAAACACTTTGGTGCTAAGAGCCTTTGACGTCGATCTTCATTTTTTAGATGAGAAAACTGGAATTTAGAAAAGCTAAGGAAGTCATGCAGGATCACATGACTAGCTAATGGCAGTGCAAAGGGGGCAGCTCACGTGCCTGAGCTCCTGACCACTGCTGTGGCCTTGTCTGTCGATGGTTTTACTTTCCTTTTCTATTTAAATTATAATGAAAATAACAAAAACTTTTGAACAGTACCAAAAGGTATATGATGAAAAATGTCTTATTCCACCTCAACTTTGAAATCTCACCTCCTCAGAATTAACATTATTAATAGTTTATTTAATCTTACATGGAAAATGTGATTAAACACACGCACATATCCACACCGACACCACATTAATGGTAGCCATATATACTGCTTTGCACCCTGTTTTTGTTTAAATTGCCATAGATCTTGGAGATCTCTCCATATCTGCACAATGTATAAACAGTTCCTCTTCAGAAGTGTTAGAGAATAAAGTCCCAAACTGGTACTACTTTATACCCTTTTATTCTGCTGGCAGGCGTATATATTTATTTGACCCTCTTGAAAAGCGATTGGTCACTTTTCTTCCACCCAAGTTTCAGGAATTATTTATTGTTAAAACACCTGAGGATGTTTTTCATTGATTCTAGTGAGAGAGGATGGGAGAGGGAGAGAGAGAAACATAGATGTGAGTGAGAAACATTGATTGGTTGCCTCATGCACACATCTTAATCAGGGATTGGACCTGCAACCTGGGTATGTGCCCTGACTGGGAATCAAACCCGAGACACTTTGGTGCACGGGACCACACCCCAACCACTGAGCAACACCAGCCGGGGCAGAGAAATTATTTTAAGGGGATGATCTAAAAGGGGGAAATAAGCCTCATGCATTAAAATAGATGTTAAAGTTGGCTTTGTAATGTCTTTTACAAGCTCACTTCTCCCCGCCTAAAGCCGCAGGCCCCACGTTGTCCACATTCTTATGGCCTTGGCCTCATCTAGGCGGTCTGGAAATTGTCTTGAGTCCATTTTTCAGCTTTTATGTTATCTTGACTTTTCCCTCTGAGCTTATTAACGTACTTCCTGGATCTACAGTCTCAGCCCCCACTGGTGTTCCATACCTGCCTCTGCCCAGTCTAGTGAGGACCGCAGGGAAGCAGGCAGTGGATGCAAGAAGCCAGCAGCATGGACGCACATTACCCAGGGGACACGCTGGACTCATTTTGCTTTCACATCTGTAGGTGATTACTGTGTACGCTCTTGGAAGTGCTTCCCCCGCTGACATTGATTAGTCTTGGTCTCCAGGAGATTGCTTTTGTGTCCCCACTCCCAACCAATGGGGGTGGTGGTAAAGGGTTGAGTCATTGCTGAGGAGGTAATTGAAGTAGATTATGGATTTAGCTGATGGTCGACTGCCTCCATTAGTGCTGGATGGAGAGACTGCCCAGAGTTTGGGCAATAGGCTCTCTTCAGGGCCGTACTCACTGCCTGGGTCCAGTACAGACTTCTGTAGACCCTAAGAACTCATATTTCTGGGGGTCCTCTCCTCACATCTTATTAAACAGATTGAAATTGCCCCACATTTCACATCAAATAATTTTTTTTTTTTTTGCTGAAACTTATTTTTAAAGGCTCTTTTATTTGCGCTTTCATAATTATTTGTATATGGTAAACTCCCCTAATTTATGATTGATTTCTTAAGACCTCTGTTCATACTTGGGAATTTCAGGAAGGTGAAAAAATGTAACCTACAAATTGCTTACAAATGTAATGAATATTTTATGAATATTTCATTTAACAATCAATGAAGTATGAATATGTCACTTAAATATTTATTTACTTCAATTTCGTGGTTTTCTTTTGGTATCTTGGAACTTTTTTTTTTTTTTTTTTAAAGATTTCAGATATTTCTTTGGCTCTGAAAGGTCTGGAGGCCTATGCACTGTGCCTGTGGCACCTCACGGGTACAATGCCGCAGACGCCCACAGCTCTTCCTCTATAGCAGTGGTCGGCAAACTCATTAGTCAACAGAGCCAAATATCAACAGTACAACGGTTGAAATTTCTTTTGAGAGCCAAATTTTTTAAACTTAAACTATATAAGTAGGTACATTGTTATTAACTTAATTAGGGTACTCCTAAGGCTTAGGAAGAGCCACACTCATGGGGCCAAAGAGCCGCATGTGGCTCGAGAGCCACAGTTTGCCGACCACTGCTTATCTATTGCATCATAACAAACCAGCCCAAAGTGCAGTGGCTTAAAACAGTGCGTTATTGTCTTTTGTTGGCTCTGAGGGTTGACCGGGCCGAGCTGGGAGATGCTTACTCTAGGGCAGTGATGGCAAACCTTTTGAGCTCATCGTGTCAGCATTTTGAAAAACCCTAACTTAACTCTGGTGCCGTGTCACATATAGAAATTTTTTGATATTTGCAACCATAGTAAAACAAAGACTTATATTTTTGATATTTATTTTATATATTTAAATGCCATTTAACCAAGAAAAATCAACCAAAAAAATGAGTTCACGTGTCACCTCTGACACGCGTGTCATAGGTTCGCCATCACCGCTCTAGGTCTATTATGTGGTGGCAGTGAGATGTCAGTCAGGCCTTCAGTCATGTGAAGGATTAACTGAGGTGGGTGTCCACAGAGGCTCACTCGCATGCCTGGCAGAGGACCAGCATGTGGTGTCTCCATATGCCTTGGTTTTCTCACGGCATGGCAACTGGCTTCCATGAAGTAGGAAGCAGAAGCTGCCAGGCCAGGTGGGGGCCGCACCTGGCACTGGCACGCTGTCACTTCTGCCATATTCTGTTAGTCAAAGCAGTTACAGGGTCTACCCAGATTCAAGGGGGCGAAGAAATAAACTCCACTGCTTGATGGGGGAGTGGCAGGGTCACGCTGCAGAAGAGCATGTGGGAGAGGAGATACCTGTGCAGCCATTTTAGGAAAACATACTCTCCTACAGCATCCTGGGCCCCAAAACTGTGTAGCAATCCTACAATGAATTAAACAATAGCTATTTGTTGGCCTTGCATTATTGCAAAGCACCTCCTAGGCCTTGTGGAAGATGGCAGGATAGTCAAGAGTAGGCCCTGACCTAAAGCAGCTTGACATCTAGCGTGGGCACTGAGTGAAGACATTTGAGCACAGGGAGCTGTAAGAGGCAGCTGCTGGCAGTGGAGGGGAGGGGGTGCTAAAGGGGTTGAGAAAAAGGGCCATGAGGAATGCTGCCGCGTTCCCTCAGCATCGGTCATGCTAAGCTTTGGCAAAGGGGGGAGCTGCTAGCAAACAGGCAAAGAGGCAGGGGAGGGCTGAGGCGTTTCTTGGGACCAATACCACGTCAGCTATTTTGGCTCAAGGGGGCGGGGTGGGGTTGCAGGGTGTATAGAGAGAAGACTTGGCTCTAGTCTACTTTGTGCTTCCTGGAGAAGGGAAACAGAGATTTAACCCATATTTGCCTGAGGCATGTATTCCTCTGACTCTTCAGTGGAAAACATGTAGAAGCAACACAGAACCTCCCCAAATTATCAAAACACATTGGATTTTCTTTATTAAATAGTCATACCACTTCATTGAATTGACTGCCATGTGACGAATGCCAGAAAGCATGCTGGATTCCAATGGGAAGCCCTCCGTGCCCTTTCCACCTGTTTCCTGCAGCTCAATACCAGTGCTTTGCAGATAGCAACCCAGAATGGCCACGCAGCTTCTCAGGGAGAACGCTGATCTGCACCAGAATGTGACCGTGTGTCTATTCCAGTCACTCGGGCTCTGATGGTGGCGCTGGGAGGCTGGCCTGTGGGAGATGCTGCCCGCAGATACGCGTGGGGACGGGTGCTCACAAAGAAGGGATTCTTTCTGGGAAGGCCGACTGACCTCTTTTGGAGACTGAGTCTTAATCTTGAGAAATAAAATCCGAGGAATGAAATTTAGGAAGTCATTGAAGTTCCTGGAGAAAATGAAATCTGTGTGGTTTAAACATTTAATTTGCTATGTGTCTAGAGATGCCATTCTTCTTGTATTAAATTCATCAGTCTGGGCAAATGATGAAGCTGCTGTCAATAGGAAGGAGAAAGATCATTTTCCCTCCTTCAGGAACAGTCTTGTTTTTCTTTTGAAAGTCAATCCTTTATGCTGATTTCAGTTTTCTGAAGTTTGAATTGGCTTTGGTAAAACTTACAAAGGTTCTCTGTGCTGGAATTAGATGGGAAACATTCCTCTATTTCTCACCCTGTTTTTCTTTCCTCCTGTGACAATATTATTTCCTCGGATCTTGCTTAACCATTACTATTTATTGTATTAACTCCAGAGAAGCGATGTGCTTTCAACCATGGCTGGTCGTTTTTGGAGAAGGGCGTTGAGGAATTGGCTCTGAACTTGCCTGGCCCATCCAGAGATGCTTCCTTTTCCTCAGGAGGGGCTGGGCCCCAGCAAGGCCGGTGGTCCAGCAGGAAGGACACTGCCCACTCCCTGGGAGGAGGGAGACTTGTTCCTACTCTCTTTTTTTTCGTGCTCAGTGTGTCAAGAGGGAAGGTTCCTCCTGAGCAGATGGGGCCTGTGCAGAAAGCCTTCCCTGCACATTGCCCCCTCCAGCCCCATCTGTCTCCCATTTCCCTTGCTCAAACCTCTGCCCACTCCCACATATGCTCTCCTGCTACTCTCTACTTTCCTCCAAAGCCCTTACCATAATATGTAATTGTATATTTATTTTGTGACTAAAAAACAAACAAACAAACAAACACCAGTTAATATTTGCTTCCCCCACTAGATTGGAAGATTCCTGAGAATGGGCCATGCTCACCACTCAGTCCCTAGTGTCCTGAAAAGAGCCTGGGCTTCAGGGTATAGTTCTAGAATGAATGAAGGGGGAAGCTGGTAGCTGGTGAGCAGGTTTGCTGCCCAGCCTTGGGATGGAGATGACTGCTGAGCACGGACTAGGGGTCATCCCTGTGCTGGGCAAGTCGGTACACAGAGTATTAGGAAGTGTCTGCTGAAACGAGTCACTTTTTTATATGAAGGAGGAAGCCAGGATGTTTGTATTTGAAATTTTTGTTTCTTTCTGTAGCCTAAGGCGTCCGCCCTTCATTTAGCTGTTATCAACAACCACATCGCCTGGTCAACAGCTTATTAAGTGCACAGCATGACATTGACGTCTTAAATCAGGTAAGTCAGGCAAGTCAGAACCTGGAGTGTCTCTTATATGTTTCAGCACAGTGTGTGTTTAGGGGTAGTTTTGATCAAGTTCAAGGCGCTCTAAAATGTCCTGAGAGGAATGTGCACATTCTTTTTATCCTTGTTTTCTCTGTAACCTGCACACAAATACTTCGTCTTTTTCAAACACACAAATGGGGCTCTGCCAGTACGTTTATTTAATGGGCCTGGAGTTTCTGATAGATGATCAGTAGCTCAGAGGTAAGTTCCCAGAGGCTCTTTAAATGAAAAGCTCCACCCCCAGTTGAGATGTTGTAATTGGGGGCGGGGGTGGGGGGGGGTGGGGGGGCTTTGCCACAAGAAGGAAGCTTTGTTTCTATATTATAGACAGTATTTTAGCCCAGAGGCAAAATCTTGGAATAAAAATCGCCATGATTTCAATCCAGGGGAGCAGCATCGAATACCCCATAAAAGGAATCCATCTCTGGCTGGAAGTGGACAGGTGGGGATGGGAGAGTGAAGAGGGTGGGGATGGGCCTCCCCTCAGGCGGCTGCCCTCTCCCAGGAGCTGCTGGGAGGGAATGGAAAGGGAAGCTCTCTGGAGAGGAGCCCTCCCAGAACCCTGAGGACAGAGACCTCTGGGCTCCCCCTGCCTTTCTGGCTGCCTCTTCCCAGAGAAGCCTGGGCTGTGCCCTGGGGTGGAGCCAGCCAGGTGAGCGGGTTGCCGGCTAACCTGCTGCACATCTGTCCACCGGGGGCACCCACTCATCTGTGTCGTCTTCTCCTCGGGGCTCACCTGTGCCCTGAGCTGATGGAGACCATTGCCCTTCTGTGCCTCCTTCCCCAGGGTCCTTCCTTCTCCCCCGTCTTCTATCCCAAAGTCTGGGGGAAGAAAAGCTCCTCTGTTCTTAAATATACTTATGTGCTCAGCTATGTTAATGCCCTCGGCCTTTCCTACTAGATCCACTGCAGAGGAGGGTATGCTAGCTACCATCCAGTTATAGAACCAGACTTGATTGTTTTAATTTGTTGTTAGACCAGGAATGCATTTAGTATATGAAATAAGAAAACATAAATAAGCTAAAAACTTAAAATTTATTTGTAATCTCCCCAAAGAAGGAGAACTCTTGTTAGCATTTTGGCGCATCTCCTGCCTCAGACTTACAGCAGCACTGTCACATGAGATTTTACGAGGATTTGACGGTTTACACGTGTGTCTACCTTCCACGTTGGATAGGCCTGCGGTAGGTTTGTCCGTGTAAGTGCAATGTCTGGGGTGATGACCCCCCTGAGGGGCATGCAGCCATCCCAGAGTCTTTAATAAGTGCACGTTGATATTAATTATGGGAATGCCCTACGTACGTTGGCCTGTGCGCTGGTAGGAAGAGTACTGGGCTCGGTTATTGCCCAGCTGTGTAACCTGGGGAAGTTGCTTCCTTTCTCTGGTTTAGGGGTGGGGTTATATCACAACCAACATTCTGTCCCAATATTTTAGAAATGTTTCACATCGGCAGTACTTTGGGTGGTAGATTAAGGTGGGTGGCTTCTTACGATTTCAGATATTCTCTGAGACACTCTCATCCTCTTAATAGGAAAATGATTGTTCCAGAAAGAAATGAGAAGTCCTATAGTCTCTTATATGTTACAATGCAGGAAATTTACAAAATAGAAGAGGATGGAGAATAAAAGTAACTTCTGATCCCACTATCTAGATATTATCACTCTTAAGATCATGGATGTATTTTCTTATATAAATTTATATATATATATTTGAGCTCAGCTAAATACAATGTTGTTTCCTTGTTTCCTAAGGCTTTTAATGTTAAGTAAGTATTTTTCCATTTTAAAAAATAATATTTGAAACTATTTTTTATTGTGGCAAAATATGCATGACATAACATTTACCTTTTTAACCATTTGTAAATGTACAGCTCAGTGGCATTAAGTATATTCACATTGTTGTGCAACTATCACAACCGCTATTTTCATTAAATAGTAACTCTCCAGACTCCTCCCCTCAGCCCCTGGCAACCACCATTCTACTTCCTGTCCCTATGAACCTGACTGTTCTAGGCACCTCATATTGAAATCACTTTTTAAAATCTATCTTTAATAGTTGCCTACTATTCCAATATATGGGCATTCCATAGTTCATCTAATGCAGTGGTTCCCATTGTGGGGCACATGCTCCACAGGGAGGCAATTTGATTTTGAAGGGGGGCAATTGGAGAATGAGTTATTAACAGTGAATTTTGTGCATTTCTTATGGTTCTAGGGGCCTCATATACAGTGTGTAAATATATACTGTGACATATTTATGCATTTCAGCTCTCTATTATATGTTCTGAAACTTTATTTGCTATTTTTTCATATCACTTCATATTATTATTTTTTTAACAGTTTCTTAGTGATTTCTTCCTCAGTACTTCAACTGTCCTTTCATTCTTTTATTTTTTTCTTTCATGGATACCATGTTCTTTGGAAGCTTGTTTAGACCAAGTTAATGGCCTTTTAGGCTTCCTCCATGTGAATAGGAGTTCACTTTTTGAATAATAAGAATTATATGTCACGGGCGGGGGTGGGGGGATCTGGATTTTAGAGATTCTTAGGTGGGGCATGGCCAGAAAAAGGTTGGGAACCACTGATCCAATGAGTCTCCTTGTTAAACATGCAACTTCCTATCGTTTTTTACTGTCATAAACAGTACTGCCATGAATGTCCCCTGCGCGTACTTAAAAATCTGTGATCTTATCTGTTTTTCCTGATGTTGATATAGAACACTATTTTCCCTTTGTCTTGTCACTATGCAAGTTTTTCCCCTTCTTAACAAGCTTGGCTCACAGTTTTGAAATTTCTCATGGCAGAGGCAGCAGACTCCTTTGCACGTAGCTGCCGACCTTGGAAACGTGGACGTGGTGGAAACCCTGCTGAAGGCAGGCTGTGATCTGAAGGCTGTGGATAAGGTAACTTCATGGACTTCACTCTGTGCAGCTGCGATGGTTGCTGAGAATGCCCTGTTGGCTGGAAGCCTTGAGCAGCAGCATAGCCTTTGTGAAATGGACACAAACTAGAGAAACCTTTGTCTTGATAGTCAGTAAAGCATCCCAAGATAAATCAGTAAGAATTTTTACTCTGAACAATAAAATGTGTTTTTAAAATTCAAATTATTTATTGATTTTTTAAAAAAGATTACAGATTCACATGGTGCAATATATATAATTAGTAAAGGCTTGACAGTAAAAGTTTCCCGCCCACCCCTGTCCCTGTTTGTCTGGTTCCCATACTACCCTTGACATATGTATCCATTATCATACATTTCTCTGTTCTTTCTAGAGTTTCTTTCTGCATAGGTAAGCAAACATAAATATATTTACTCTTCTTTTATTCCTCTGTCCTTTTACACAGTGGTTATATACCTCTACATATTGTTCTGCATGTAGCGTTTTTGCTTTAACAATATAAAGTGGGGATGGTCCCATATTAGTACGTGGAGAGTTCATCCTTTTTTACACAAGTGCATAATAGAGTGTGGTATGGGCATATGGTAATTTAGTCCTCAGCTGATGGCCATTTAAGTTGTTCCTAAGCTTTTACTGTTATAAACAGAGCTGCAATAAACATACTCATGCATGTCTAAACTTTTTATTTTAAAAAGTTTTTAAATGGTAAAATACACAAAACATAAAATTTACCATCTTGATCATTTTTAAGTGTGCAGTTGAGTACTGTTAAGTACCTTCTCACTGTTGTGCAACCAATCTCTAGAACCTTTTCATCTTGCAAAACTGAAACTCTATGAACAACTGCCCATTTCCTCCTCCTCCCTTTCTCCCTACCCAGGCCCTGGCAACCACCATTCTACTTTGTCTCTATGAATTTGACTGCTCTAGGCACTTCATATATGTGGAATCCTACAGTACTTGACTTTTGTAATTGGCTTATTCACTTAGCATAATGTCCCCAAGATTCATCCATGTTGTAGCATGTGTTAGAATTTCTTTTATTGTATACTAGAGGCCCAGTGTACAGATTCGTGCACGGGTGGGGTCCCTCGGCCTGGCCTGCGGGAATCGTGGACCTCCACACCGCCACAGCCCAGCCTTACCCGCTAGCTCGTTGGGCTCCAGTCTGCTGTCCATGGCGATCCCGCACAGTATGAAGTAGTGCATGAAGTGGCATGTGGCCAGGGAGGAGCCCAAGCCTGAGCCTGGGCTGGGTGCCAAGCCACTCCTGCTCATCCTTTCCCCCCTGCGCCTGGGTACGCAGGGGGTGTCCGTGGGAGAGGCTCGTGCCATAGCTGTGCTTGCCAGCCATCAGCCCGGTCCTCTGACACCCATCTGTCAGCTGAGCAGAGCTCTGGCTGTGGGAGTGCACTGACCACCAGGGGTCAGCTCCTGCATTGAGCGTCTTCCCCCTGGTGGTCAGTGCGCGTCATAGCGACCCGTCAGTTCCGCTGTTCGGTTGATTTGCATTTGAGGGTTTTATTTGAACATTTGGGTTGCTTCCACCTTTTGGCTATTATTGGGGACTTGTTTGATGAAGGAATGCAGGCTCAGCCATTGGAGGGTAGCGGGATGACTGTCCATTAGCTTTACTGAATGATGGAAAAGCTACAGACTGCTGGTGGCGGCCCTGTGAGTTGCTCACACACTCCATCTTCCTTCAATCCTCACATGTCTTCTGTGAAGGGGACAAAAAACCCTACTTTTTAAGACAAGATTTGAGAAATGTTAATGACAGCAGGGGCACACACATAGTAAGAGCCTGGCTTCAAAGCCACGGCTCCTGGCTGCTCGATTGTCCAGTGCTTTCCCATCTTGTCTTCACCCAGACGGTTCACCAGCTCGGCATATCCCTAATTCCCAGTGCAATCACCCTACTCTACTTCCGAATCACACATTTTACACTTCTAGGATTGGAAGTAGTGATATGCTATTTTACTCTTCTCTGTATGTCACTTTTTAAAATTAACTCTTTTTTCTGATAATAAAAATAATACAGTTCCTCTGACGACAATCTGGAAAACATAGAAAAGCATAAGGAAAACACAACTACCCATAATTCCATGACTTAGGTGGCACCTCACGGGTTGTAGCTCATTAGCTTCTAATAACATTTAGGATTAGTATTAACATTTAGTGTTAGTATTTTCCTGTGCTTTCTTTTTGTACTTTATTCTACTTTTTCATTAATACATAACACCTCCAGGGCAGTCTTGCGGGGGGGGGGGGGGGGGGGGTGGAGAATCTATATAGCATTGCAGGGACTTCATGTTGGGTCCCTTGGTGATAGTGGACTGGCTATTTGAGTAAACACTGTTAATACTACAACTTGACTTTGTTTCCAGAACAATAGCCCACAGTTTACTAGACCTCACAATTGATTTTCCCAGATTTTCCTTCTCCTCCTCTCTCTTTCCTCTCAGGGCCTAGAATATAGTTGGCACCAAACACATATTGAATTAATAAATAAAAGCTACCTTTTCTATCTGCTCCCACAATTTTTACCAAAGATAAGTGACTGTTTCCGACTCAATTAAGACCTGGATGGGAAAAAAGGAGCCAAGGTTTGGTATACATTTGACTTTCCCAGAAACCTGTTCTCTGGGCCTGAGATATCACAAGGCTCCCCGAGGGCCTTCCACCCTCAATGGCATAAGTGTTTGGATTTCCACTCCAGCACACACTCTGGGGGAAGGGTTTCTTTAAAAAAAAAATACATATTTTTAATGACTTCAGAGAGGAAGGAAGAGGGATAGAGAGATAGAAACATCGTTGATGTGAGAGAATCATTGATTGGCTGCCTCCTGCACACCCCACACTGGGGATCGAGCCCTCAACCTGGGCATATGCCCTTTCCAGGAATTCAACCGTGAACTCCTGGTTCATAGGTCAACATTCAACCTGGCCATGCTGGCCAGGCCCAGGAAAGGTTTTCTATGAGCCTGAAAACTGGCTCTCAGAATGCTGCCTTCCCCAAATAGGCTAATTACGGTGATGCAAATGGCTTTACAAGCCAGAATTTAGACAATGTATACTTAGAGGCTTGCTAAATGCCTGCAAAATGCAGTTCTTCCTAATTTCATTACTGTCTCTTTTGATTAGAAGCTGATTACTTTCAGCCCTAATTTTTAGGCTCACCTGGGTCTTAGTGCCTGCCCTAACAGCCAAATCATTTGGGTTGCTGGGAGTTGCAAGTAGTCAGATGTGAGAGAATTATTGGGATAAATTTCTGGATCCCTAAGCATAGAAACATAGGTTCCTGTGATTGGAACTTCTTCTTGGGTTATGTCTGACCATTCATTTTAATTTTTGTCAGGATTCTTGAGCAAATTTTTCATGGGTCGTTGGCAAAACAAAGGGAACTGCCCCCTTTTGCTCAGGAAAATAAAATGTATAGATTTCTAGATTGTGTACTGCATAAAATATAGGGGGAAACATCTAGAGTACACTGCTTGCAAAGCTGTGTGCCTGGCTTTGAGCTATATCCATCCTGACAAAGGTGTGCCTTCTGTAATTTATCTAAGGTACCGTATCAGCTCCAGGCCACTCCTGCCCCAAATTATGTCTAGAATAACCCTTATTTATCAGACTATTTGGTTAAGATTTCAACCCTCATCCTTGGTTGGAGGTAATATGATATAATAGAAAACAAATTCTAGTTAGGAGCCCAGCAAGCTGAATTCTGTGCTATGAATTAGTCATGTTGTCATGAGTGATATTACTTTTAATAAAATCTAGCCCTTTTCTGTCTTATTACCCTTCTTAACGCACGGCTTCCGCTTCCTGGGCTAAGGTGGCTGTTGAGCTCCTACCGCCATGCCAGCATTCCACTCAGGAGGAGGAGGAAAGGAAGGAGAGTGAAATCCCTCCTCTATTTAAAGATACTTCCCAGAAGTTGCATGTACCGCTGGCCAGAACTCAGTACAAGGGGGACTAGGAATTGTTTGGAGTGGCCAAGTGCCCAGCTAAAACCAAGAGGTCTCTTCCTATAGAAGAAAGGAAGGAAAGGCTATGGAAGGGTGGTGGCATGGCCGCTTACTAAAGCCTCTGCCACAGGTCGAGTCTGCCTTTGGAGGAGAAAATGTACAATCATGTAATTTATTTGCTGAGCACATCCCAGGGCAGTGAGCCAGGGAGAACCCGGGGGGTATTGGATAAATGTTTGGGTTCTCATTGGTAGAGCACGTGTAAAATATTACTTGTTGATCGTGAGTCCCTAGCCCAAACTCTTTCCCTTGCCCAGTTGACCCAGCACCAGACACGATCAATATCTAGCATTTCTTGGACAATTTACATGTGTCGTGCATGACATGTCCTAAGGGCATTACATACATTATCTTATATACCTCTCACCACAACACCATGAAGTAGTTATTGAGATGGAGAGCAGCTAAGGACCAGCCCAAGTTCACCCTGCAAGGAAGCAGTAGGGTTAGGATTTGAACCCAGGCTCCCTTGTTCTAAAACTAGAGTTCCTACCTACCCAGTGGTTCTCAACCTTCCTAATGCTGCGACCCTTTAATACAGTTCCTCATGTTGTGGTGACCCCCAACCATAAAATTATTTTCGTTGCTACTTCATAACTGTAATTTTGCTACTGTTATGAATCGTAATGTAATTATATATGTGTTTTCCAATGGTCTTAGGCGACCCCTGTGAAAGGGTCGTTCGACCCCCAAAGAGGTCGCGACCCACAGGTTGAGAACCGCCTAGTAACTAGGCCATCCCACCTGACACTTTCATTTTTAACTTTCAGCAAGGGAAGACTGCCTTGGCGGTGGCCTCCCAGAGCAACCACAGCCTTGTTGTGGACATGCTCATAAACGCAGAAAGATACTATGCCTGGAGAGAGGCAAGGAAGGACGATACATTAAAAATGCATTTTTCATGGTGACATTTCCTTAGCCGAGGCATCACCTCTGTTTTCTTTGGGGGTGGGGAAATAGTGGGTTGGGACAGAAGCAAGGGACACAACACTGTAACACCCCTCACATTTCCTGTGTCAGGCAGACAGTACTCACATTCTGAGAACAGCACGGTAGTAATGAATCTGACAGTCTGAAAAGAAAACCCCATGATAGACCTAGAGGGCTCTCGCCTGCAGGGAGGTGTTGCAATGTCTGATGGACCTGCTGAGAACAGCTCCCTAGTAAGGGAGTAGTTGCCATAGTGCTCTCTTGTGGACATTCTGATAACAGCACCCTATTAAGGGATTCGTTGTTTTTTTTTTGTCTCCATCTTGAATGACAAAAATGATCCAATGATAGATAACATTGAAAAGGTAGTCCTGGTTACCCCCTTACCAGTTATATCTGAAAATATTTACTCTGAAATAAGGCAATAAGCAGAAAATATCTAAAATCATTTGATACCATTACTTTCAATTTAGAAGCATGGTGAGAGCACCAGGGATGCACCAACCAACTTTCCTCTGACGTTCAAGCAAGATCACAGCCAGGAGACCAGGCATATTCACAGTCTCCTCTGGAACCTGGCTTATCGTCAGCTGAAGGCCAACGAGTGGCAGAGGCTGGCCCGAGCATGGAACTTCACAGATGACCAGATCAGAGCCATCGAGGAGCAGTGGTCAGGTGAGCACCCCCAGGTGATGTGGGCAGAGGCATTCCGTGTTGGGAACAGCAGTCCTTCCTGGTGGCAGATCTTCCAGGTAAGTACCAGGGACACAGACTTAGGGCTCTCTTAGAGGATGCCAAGACTCCAGCTGTCAGAACTAGTGAGGTCACGTCAGCTGGAGTCCTTTGCTTTGCTTTTTAATGATTTGGCCCAAACCTAGGAAAGATAGAAAGTTTGTTTGGCATTAATCAACCAATTAACTTTATAAACAAAGAAGCCAACACTTTCCTTGGGAAAACTTTCTACTTATAGCAATTCCCATATGTGGGTATCATGAGATGTGAACAAGCCCCATGCTATCGTTGACTTGCACCGCTGATTGCTGGGGACTGTAGACACAGAAGCACATCCCCTGACCCCGTGCTACTTGTACCACAAGTGATGATGCTTTTTATGGCTAATTCTAGGACACATTTTCATGTGAAAAAAAGGGAAAATATTGAATATTGGCTATAGTTTCTGAAAAGAATTCTTTGTTATTTCTCCTTTGTTGCTAATTAGACATATATGTTCTGTGAAGTCTTTAGGAAAGTTGTCTTCTGGAAACCGCTCTTGGCCTGAAGAAATGGTTTGGAAATATAGTGTGCCCTCTGAGTACTTGCCATCAGAGTAGGGGGCGTTTAAAATGTTTCAGGCCAACACTGCAGAGTGCCTACACGGGGCCTACCTCTGCCAGGTGAGGGTCCATTGGCTCAGTAAGCCATGGCACATGTTTGATGCAGTTTGTACCCTCGTTGGCATGATAACAGTAACATTCACAATCCATTTATATTGTGATTCCGGTAGTGGCACCAGGGAGTTGGTGGACTTTTGAACAGAGGCATGGCATGTTAATGATGGTATTTAAGGAAAATTAGTTGGGCAAGGGCAAGATCAGAGGGTTCACCTAGGAGTATGTTCTTTATGTGCACAGTTGCTCTCCCTGAAACGCCGGTCCCTCCAACAGTCTGTCCCATGGACTTCCTCCCCGAGCTCAGACCCAGCTCCTGGGCACACACTCCACTGAGCCAGAAGCCTGCCCTGTGTTTGTGACTGTGACCTCCTACTGGAATGGCAGTGGCTTCTCATCTCCACATCCCAGCACGTCCCCCACACTTCTCAGGGGTTAGGTATCCAGGGAGTACTAGTATTTGCCCAGCACTCACTGGTCCAGAAAGGGGAGGGAATGCAGACTTCCACCAGAAACTGGAGTGGCAGGTTGCTACCTGCTGCTGCTCAGAGTGTGGGTAACGGGCAGCAGCAGCAGCAGCAGCAGCAGCAGCACCTGAGAGCTTATTAGACACGTAGGTCGTCACCCCAGACTGACTGAGTCAGAACGTGCATTTTAACAAGATCCCCAGGTGGTATAGGCACTTTAAGTTTATGTTTAAAAAGCTCCACGTCTCATTAAGATTGTCCCTTCCCGCAGGGCAGGGATGCGACTGTGAAATCATGAGTCCGCTCCTCTGGGCTATGTCAAGCACAGTGGGTGCATGGCCAGTGCTGGAGTGAGTCCCCACTCTGATCGCCCTAAAGCAGCACCAGTGCGGGCAGCTGGAAGGGCTTTCCTCCCCTGGGGCTTTGATCTAACCATCACCAGAAGAGCAGCCGCAGAGGAGTTACAGTTAGACTTGAGATCCCAGGCACAGAGAGACAGCAGCAGCAGATGGTGTTTTGCCTCTGACCTTGTGTGTGTGGCACAGGACAGGACAGCTTCCGTGAACACGGCCACAGGGCTCTGCTCATCTGGCTGCATGGGGCCCTGATGATGCAGGCCGCGCCGGTCAGGCACCTGTACGAAGAGCTGGTCCGCGCAGGTTTCCAAGAACTAGCTGGTGAGTGACAGTTTTCAATAAACAGACACTCCTGGTCCCTTGAAATGTTAGGGGACCGTTGGCAGAGACACTGCCCTGAGCAGCAACGGTCCCAGCTTGGGATTCACTGGGGCTCAGTCAGCATAGGCAGCTTCTTTGGTGAGTGACTCAATGAGTCCTTGTTCTGTTTTTTTCAGTCCTCAGTGTTAAGTGGGCATTTGAAAAAGTACAGGAGTATTTTTGTCTATGTGTGTGGGTAGGGGGGGGAGGCGGGGGAGAATAGGGGAGGTGACAGGGGGACAGGAACGCTGAACTAGGTCATAAGGATAGTTCTCCACAACCAAGAATTGTCTCGCTCCAGATGCTACTTGGCCCCTGTTGGGATACGGCAAGTTAGTGCATTTGAAAATGTCATCTCCAGGTTGAAAGAAAAGAGCAGGCAGCCTGTTGCTTTGCCAGCTGAGGTTAGTGCTAAAAATTACTCTGCCAAAGATTATCTTGTTAGGGAAGATGCTTTGAAAACTTATCAATAAATTAGGTGGTGTTATAACTTACATGTAATCATAACCATTCATGCAAAATATAGCAACATCTACCATTTTTTTTTCATGAAGCTGAGACCATACTTCCACAAATCAGACACCTGATCCAATATTGAGTTTCAAGTATAAGGAATAGTGCCTGGACGATGCCTACTTTCCATGACATTGTCCTCATAGCACTGGGGAAGTGTATCCATAAGAACTCCCAGGGAGTAACTAGAGGCATGCTCTGAAGGGATGCAGGGCATGGGCTCTGAACTTCATGTCTGCACGCCAATGCTAACAAGCTGTGTGACCTTGAGACGTTCTGTAACCTCGCTGTGCCAGTGTTCTCATTTATTAACAAAGGCATCTGGCGAAGGGCTGTTGTGGGATTAAGTGTGTAATAGTGCCTGGCACATAGTAAGTGCTTAATAAATGTTAGCCGTTAATAATAAATGTCATGCTATTTTTTTCCAGAAAAGATACGGCAATTCAAAAGTGAAACTAACTCAAAGCCCAAGAAATGTAGTTTCATAAATGCCTAGAGAAATTGTATGTAAGTGATTTTCCACTCAGCATCCAGTCCTTTGAAGTTCAGCTCTTTAAAGCCATGAAGTCCCTCTAGCAGGATTGATTTTCAGCTATGAGGATAGTGGAAATAGATCCCTAACAGATGAAAAAGTGGTATTCTACTTCCCAACCACTGAACTGAAAAGTCAAAAAACACTTTGGCTTTTGCTTAAGGCAAGTTGTATGATTTTCCCATTTCTGTCATTTGATGTAACATATGTGATAGCATAATCTAGGATGATTTTGTACCCTCATGTTTTAGAAAAATATGATGGTGGGAGCAGCAGCATGGCATATAGGAAAACCGGGGATTGTAAGATACACGTGGTTTTGAGTAGTGATTGTGCCACTTTTTAATTATGAAACTTTGGGCATTCTAATATTCCAATTTCCAAATCTCCAGTTTCCTCTATAAAAATGGAAGAAATACCTGCCATAGCAGTTTGGTGAGGATGAAGGGAGAATGCCTGTAGCCTCATGCCCATAGTATTGACCTCGTTAACTATTATTTCTCTTGTGAGTGAAACTGGCTTCGGAAATTATAGTCACTGTTAGCTTTAAAGAACACATATTGTAGTATGTATGGAAAGGCCAGAAGTATATATACCAATATATTTTTTTTTTATCTCTTGGTGATTTGATTATAGGTGACTTTATTTTCTTTGTACTTCTTGGTACTTTCCAATTTTTTCCACAGTGAACATGTATTATTTTTGTAATCTGAGAAAGTTATTAAACATGAAATCAAGTACCAATTTATGTCAGTTTATATGCACCTATTCATTATAATTTAAGTCTCTCCATTCTCAAATTCTGACTCTAGGTCTGTAAGGCCAGAAATAATATCAACCCAGTTATTCTATCATGAATTTATAGTTCTACATCTTTGGCCCACTTAATGTTATGTTTAGAACAGTTAGTATGTTCACATGATTCCCAAGTTTTAACAAAGGTGTTCAGTGAAAAGTCTTGTCTCCATCTGTTCTTCAGTCTGGCCAGTTTCTACTGACCTTGCTACTCCTCCTCCCATCCCCCCCCCCCAAATCTGGGCAACCTCTTTATAGAAAAATATGAATACATACTTTATAATAATATAAAGTGTTTTAATTGTTGAATTTACGTTAACTTAGGCTAACACTAATTACTTGAGGCTTTATACCATATAGCTTCCAGAACTTAAAGTTTAAAAAGATTTATGATATTACAGTATTCATAATATTGACTTCAGTTTGTCCACATGATTATGGCTTGCACACTGAAAACTGCTCCTAATTGTAATTGAGGTTCTTCAAAAAGCGGAGCCTGAAGCCCGTTTACATGCCACTGCTTCTTTCAGGAATGCAAACTCAAGGGAGCAGGCGTGAAGGAAAAGGGGTGATATGGCGACGGAGGGAGAGCCTAGACCAGGATCAATTACCATATTGGCCACCACTTGGTACCAAGCACAACTTATTTGACCTCGAGGGTACTCTTCCAAGAGATGAGAGATGGGATGGCTATGCATAGCGGGGAGAAAGGAAGACTTGATCTGTATACCACAATGGGTGTTAATTCAGGGCTTCATGAGTGGACTGCAAATGGAACCTGTCTGTCCCTCATGACTGGACTGGGAGGGATGGAAGCCCTCGGGGAGAGGAAGGGGGTAAGGAGATTGCCCTCTGTATAGGCAGCAGATGAGGTGCTGTTGGTTTGTGTTTGTTGTAACCCATGAGCTGTTTGCCACAGTAGTAGCTGGGCCAGAACCCAGAACAAGTTTGGCATAAGATGGATCTAACACTCTTTAAGACATGGCCAGATAGTTCAAATAATTCAGAAAAGCCCTGATTTGCCCCTTTAGAAAATGGGATATCTGATGTCGTTAACAATGTAAGGACATAAGAAAAACTGTTTCCTGCAACACAATTAGAGCATAGAACTAGGTCATGTTCAAAATGGAAGAGGCTTCAGAGTATTAAATCTACCCACTCCTGTTAACAATATGGAAATTGAAGCCCTAGACAGATACTTCAGAATCTACTCATGTTTTATGCACCCATAAGTACTTTAACCCAGGCAGCCAGCAATGAACCATTAGAAGCCTGGTTCTGTACTGCTTGGTCAGTTTTGCCCAGATGGTTTCTTCCTATTGGCCAGCATTGAAAAGTCTCTACTCAGGCTTGGAAGATTTGCCGAGTTGCCCAGGGCTACACCACTCCAGGACACTGGATGTTTAGAGAGAACAATATGGATTCCAAACTGAGGTTTCCGAAGAGGCAAGGAAGAATATCAGAAATAGGATCATTCTAATAGAAAATTTTCTTTTGATGTTTCTGTAACTGTGTTTTTGTGCTGGTAAATTTTTTTCCTTTTAACATCAAAAATTATTCATAGGTGTTGCCATTTCCCCCTTTCTTTAATTGCTGGACTACTAGAAAATGAAGACAAATACATTACAGTCACAAAAAACTCTGTGATAAAAATATCACTACTCTTGGTCTTTATCTTTTTCACTTAAAAATACCTTAGTTTCTATTAGTTTTAATAATTTTTAAAATAAACTTCTCTTAGAAGTTTACTTAGGAACCTTGGAAATGATTCAGCTTTGTGGAATAATGTAGAAAAAACAGGATTTATATACTTTGATGCTATAATCAGCCACAGGCTGAGCCTATTAAAAAATACAGTCCAGATTTTTAATTTAAAAAAGTTTTACTTAATTGCTTAAATTAAAAAAATAACATTAAAATAATCCTACATATTATTTTACAAAGGATGGTGTGGCTTGAAAAAGTCTCTTATAATTCTGAAAAGGTGAACATGATGTATCCATGATGTTCTAAAAATATGGAAAAATTTGAAACTAAAGACTTCTAATCCTTGGTAAAACCAGAGCACTTAAAAGATCTTAATATGAACGTATTCATTTCAGTCAACCACTTTGATGGAATGAACGCTTGTGAGAGACTGGGTGTGAGTTGATCTGGTTCCGAGAGATCTGGAAGCTGAGGTAGTACTTTCAGGATGAATAGTCCGGGGGTATTTTGTTGCAGCAGCTTGAGGAATGGTTTGCTGAAAAGATAAAAATCTTTTTAAATAATCCTATAAAATTACACATATTAAATATCATTTTATCATTTATAATTTAGCCCAACATTTGTTAAGTGTCAAGCAATGAATTGAAGTAGTGGTTACAAGTTGTGGTCCTTTTCCATAAGAAACCCACAGCCAATTAGACTGATGTGCTCAATACCCGTAATTTATGCGAGAGGAGCACAGAGTGAGCCATGGGAGCATTCATTTCTCAAGGAGGACTCAACTGGATGGAATCTTATGCTTAGAGAGGCGAACTGCAGAAAGGGACTTTGTGGTGTCTGGAAGAAGGGTCCTACCCCCCAAGCCCTCCACTGGGATATGTGGAGTCCAGTCCTGGGGAACATGTAAGGAATCCAGTCTGGTCCTTGCTTCAAACCAGCATAAAGCAGGTCTGTCATATTTCACCTGGGAACTGACTAAACCTTTTATGGTGACACACGAGGAGGACTTCTCAGAGGCCTGGTGCTCCCTTCACATGGACCACCACTTTCTAAAGAAAGAAATAAGTAGAGACTAGGGACACATGTTGAGGGGAGGACATGCACACTGCCTCCGAGCTCAGAGGAACATCTTAGACATGAGCACTGATGCATTAAAGTCAGGACACATCTGCCTTCATCTATACATGCAGATGTTCAAGTTCGTATTATGTACATAAGTTCACATTACATGTATACGTCTGTGTAATATGTACACATGTAAGGCTTTCCTGTATTATACCCAATACAGCTTCTCAGTAGGCCACAGTGGGATTTGTTATGCAGATGAGTTCTCAGTTCATGTCACTGACTAGCACATGTAGGTTCTGATTAGGGTCTCCCACTTAGAAAAGCCATCTCTAAAATACTTGAAGTAAAATTATATATATTTGATCAAAACATTCACTATGCATTTCAAAAGCTCTATGATACAGATATGCAGGTCTTCATTTTAGATTCTGCTTTAAGAATAAGAGCTCCTCTTTAAGGAAATGGAAAAATAACCTCCTTAAATATTTTTATACTATATGTTTCTTTGTATATAAATTAACTGGGTAATCATAACAAATGGGAGATATTCTTGCCACTACTATGAAATTTTAGTTGCTAACCACCTAATCTGACCCTGTCAAAAGAGGTATTTTTCTTTGGGGGGGATTGGCAAGAGGAACTGTAGAAATAGATTCACGTTACCATGGGTATCATGATCTACAAAATCCAGTAGAGAATAAAGTAGCACCAGAAGCAAGCAATTAACCAGCAGATGGGGCTAAAGTGTCAGAGACCTGATTACTGGTTTATTAGTAATAACTTTCTGGTAGTTCTGGATCTTGATTCTTGGGAAAAATGAAAAATTGTAGAGAGGCTCGCCATCATGTCTGTCACATATCCAAGTCAGGTACCAATGGGAGCAGTTGTGGCTTTCTAATTCATGGCCAATTATTGGAGAAGCACTGCACATGCAAAGGGCAGCTTGTGAGATAAACTCAGAAACGGGTTAAAAGTCTTTAGTTCCTTATTTTTCTGTAAAATATGAATTTCTATTGTTAATCTAAAAACAAAGGCTAAATTAAAAATAAACGTGTAGTCTCTTTAAAGCCTTCACCTTTTTAAAAAAAATTATTTTGTGTTTTTTATTGCTGTTATTTTTCTCCATTGATTTTTAGAGAGAGTGGAAGGGAAGGGGAGAGAGAGAAACATCGATGTGAGAGACACATTGATTGGTTGCCTCCTGTACATGCCCCAACCAGGGCTGGTGATTGAACCTGCAACCAGGTACATGCCCTTGACCCGGAATCGAACATGAGACCTTTCAGGCCTTGGGCCAATGCTCTAACCACTGAGAATACTGGTCAAGGTGAGAGAATTCTCTTTGAAAATCAATCCTGTTTCTCTTTGGGAATATGTTCTTGTTACTTTTTTGTTGTTGTTGTTGTTCTTGTTACTTTTAAAAATTAAACTTTTTGAGGTAATTCTTGAGTACAAGAAATAATGCAGAGGTATTCCTGTATTCTTTTTAAAAAAAATATATATTTTTATTGATTTCAGAGAGGGAGAGGGAGAGAGAGATTGAAACAGCAATGATGAGAGAGAATCATTGATTGGCTGCCTCCTGCACACCCCCTACGGGGGATTGAGCCTGCAACCCGGGCATGTGCCCTTGACTGGAATCAAACCCGGGACCCTTCAGTCTGCAGGCCAAGGCTCTATCCATTGAGCCAAACCAGATAGGGCTCCTGAATCCTTTTCTAGCAATTTTTATTTGCTTTTGGTTTTACAGTTTACAAAGTGACTTTCTACAACATTATCTCATTTAATCCTGAATTCTGACAATAAACCATAAGAGCTAAGTACTCTTTGACTCCCATTTTACACAAGAGAAAAAGAAGGTTCAACTATTTTCCTTGTTTTATATATGATCATAAAGGCAATACGTAGCATAATTGGGGCACTAACTTGTTTTGTTGTGTTTTTTTGCTTAAATTCCATGGAGGTACCAACTTTTTTCCAAACTAGAAATATGATGACAATTGTATTGAAAAAGGGGAAGAAGAATTTTATTTATTTATTTATTTAAAATATGGAACGCTTCACGAATTTGCGTGTCATCCTTGCGCAGGGGCCATGCTAATCTTCTCTGTATCGTTCCAATTTTAGTACATGTGCTGCCGAAGCGAGCACAAGGGGAAGAAGAATTTAAAATAAGGAGCAACAATTTAAAAAAATTATAAAAGTAGGGAAGTATTTCTTGTAATAAAAACCTGTTACATGAACAGCTAGTTAATAAGCTAACAGTTTTTGCCTCTTTTTTAAATGAATGAGAAATCATTTCTATATTTTATCCTTCTGGCCACTGACACACTGTGTTTCTTTTTGTATTTGATAATTTTTACACTGTTGAGAAGAAATAATGTTTCTGAAATTAATTTCTTAAAAGAGGAAAGGCAGATTCAGACACATGTGTAATAAGCATAGAAAGACAAAATAGTAAAAGGCAGAATAAGAACCAGTCATCATGAATGTTGATCTTCTCCTCAGCATGTCATTTAAGTGTTTATTGGTCTATAAATTTCAGGACATAGATTTTGACAAAAGGTCAAAATGTGCACTCACCACTGTGACTGGATGATGTTTTTCCACAACAACTGAACTCATGGGAGGAGAAACTCCCATTATAGATAAACTGCTACTAATTCTGCTTTTTGAAGCAAAATCAGATCTCCCTGTGATCCGGGCTGTAATTGTTCTTCCAGCTTTCTGTTGTGCAGATGTCACAACTCTGGGTACATACTAAAAGAGCAAAGAAATATTTAGTTGGTAGAAAATCCATGGCAAAATTATAGTACTTTTGGTTTTATAACTTATGAAGAAAATACATAGGCACTTAAAATAATTGTATATTCAATTAACTTTAACATGAAAAAAATAAAAACTTAAAACATGGAAAAAAATAAAAACTTCAAACAATGAGACAAAAATCACAACATAAAACTGAGCACCGCAGAGCATCCCTTTAACTTTGGTATGCCAACTATTTTATAGGACTTCACCAACTTTAAAAAAAACTGTTTTTTAGAAATACGTATAAATTTAAAGGAAGTTATAAAGACAGTGTAGAGAGAGCCTGTGTATTCTGCACCCAGTTTCTGGAAATGATTACATTTTACATAATTATGACATCAAAACCAGGAGGCTGACATTGGTATAATGCCTAGGTATAGATCTATATCACTTTACTAGTGACCCGGTGCACGGATTCGTGCATTGAAAGGAAATTAATTAGAAGAAATATTTTAATATTGTTATTTGCCCTTTCTCTATAATAAAAGTGTCAACCAAATTCACGATCGACAATCACAGATCGAAACACATACGTGCAATTGGTGCCAGCGAGAGCTTTATATGTATTGTGCATGCATGAGTTAACTTAGCCTTTTATATATATAGATGAACTTGCTTAATTAGACCTGCTTTCTGATGTAGCTAAACTTTTTCCAGCCCAGTGAAGCACCCCAGTTTCTCTTTCAGGTAATTGTCAGCACACAGCAGTAAATATTAACATGAAGCAGATTATTATTGTAGATCATGCAGGGAGAACAAAGGCTAAAATATTTAACTGTAGCAGTGTTTGACTATATTCTGCACAGTGAGAAAACTTGAAGTCATTTTCAACGTCCACCATTTCTTACTTCTTTTCAGTTAGGTCAAGTTTCTAAACTTTCTAAATCTCTGTTTTCCGGCTAATGAAAAGAAAATAGGGTTCTACCATGTCTTGTATCTACCTACTCCAGGACTTCTGTGAGGATCAAATGAGATGAGGCACGGGAAAATGCTTAACAATCATTTGGTTAAACTGTAAAATGTTTGCACCTGGCTATAAAGCAAGTCAGGTTCCTGGGCTGAAGAAACTGCAAGGTTAGTTGCTAGGGAGAGGAAGCTGGGCGTTGTTACATGATGTCATTACCCGGCACCCACGGCGACCATTTCTGGGCCGGGCTGGGCTGTGGGCCGCATTTTGTGCCATGGGGTCTTGGCAGTGTTGGCTGTGATTTGGTGGGGTGTTGCTCCGGTGTGGTGGTGGGGCCTGTTTCCCACTTGGGGAAGCTGAGTGTTGGTTTGTCGGTGCCAGGTCTGTGGTGCTGTTTATTTTTAAATGGCCAGTGCGCGTCATGGCAGCCCCTGGTGGTCAGTGCACATCATAGTTACCAGTCGGATGGTCAGATGGACACTTAGGCTTTTATATCTATAGATTACATGTGTAGATTTGGCAATGAAGACAAAGAACTATTCCATCACCATAAAGATGTCCTTCATGCTACCCTTTAGTCATATCCATCCCTCTTCCCCCACTATTCCTAACCCCTGGCAACCATTCATCTGTTTTATAAACTCTTTTGTTCTTATGCATAATTAATATCATTATTACAAATACTTTTGTGTCCTACCTTTTTTCTTATTGATTTGTTAGTATACTTTTTTCCCATGAATAGAGAATTGCTACAATTTTGAGAGATTTTAATACCAACAAACTAGTTTATCTAATTATCTCAGTTCTTTTACTAGTATATATAGCAAATTTTTGTGGAAATGGACTCCTTTTCTTTTAAGAGTTATTTCTACAGAATATATTGCAAAAAAATGCAATGATCAGATCCTAAAGTAATGGTAGCTTTTATAGATTTTGTTGCTTACTGCTGGATAAAAGGCATGTATAAAAAAATTATATTTATATCAAAGGTAATACATATGTGTACTCATTTTCCCCCACTGTCAACTAATTACATTAGCTGGGCAAAAACAAAAAGAATAATAAAAGAAAGAGAACTGACATATTCTACTTTTGTTACTGTCTCCTCAGGCAAGTTACTCTCTCTAAGCCTCAATTTCCTCATTTATAAAATGGGAAAGCAGCACCAACTGCCTAATGATACCCTTTCATTTTCATTCAGATGAAGAGAAAGTTAGAAGACACACTTTACTAAATAGCTTAAAAATCAAACTAAAATTCCTTAATTATTCCAAATGGAGTTAGAAAAAGTTAAGTGCCATCTATTGTCCAACCTCACGAACTGCAATATATTTGCTTGTATAACTTGCCAAATGTTTTTTGAAAATTGTTTCCCACCATGAAATTCTTACATTTTATTTAACACTAGAGGCCTGGTGAACAAAATTTGTGCACGGGGGGTAGGGTGGGGAGGGTGTCTCTCAGCCTGGCCTGCACCCTCTTGCAATCCGGGACCCCTAGGGGGATGTCTGACTGCCAGTTTAGGCCTGATCCCGCAGGGATTCCCACGGGCCTAAACCGGCAGTCGGACATCCCTCTCGTAATTCAGGAACGCTGGCTCCTAACCGCTTGCCTGCCTGCCTGCCTGATTGCCCCTAACCATGTTGCCTGCCTGCATGATTGCCCCTAACCACTCTGCCTGCCTGCCCGATCACCCCTAACCACTCTGCCTGCCTGCTCGATCACCCCTAACCACTCTGCCTGCCTGCCTGATTGACCCTAACCACTCTGCCTGCCTGCCCAATCACCCCTAACCACTCTGCCTGCCTGATTGCCCCTAACCACTCGTCTGCTTGCCTGATCACTCCTAACTGCTCGCCTGCCTGCCTAATCACCCCTAACCGCCTCTGCCTCACCCCCGCTGCTGCAGCTTCGTCCGGAAGGACGTCCAGAATGACGTCCAGCTGTCGTCTAATTAGCATATTATACTTTTATTATTATAGAAGATATTGAGGACATGCGCAGAAAGGAAAGAATTTTACAAATGAAGATATTATTTCACTAGAATGGTAATCCTCCTTTCTCCAGTTATTTGTTTTCCCAAATCTGTACAGTTTACTTTCTGCACACACCTTCCTTTAGCTACTGGAAGTACTGAGGAAGACTGGAAAAAGTTTTGAATGTTCACAGGAAGCTTCTGTGATTAAAGTGGAAAGATCACCAGGCCTGGATCACAAGTCTTCTTTTCCTGTTCCTGACAATGATGGTTTCACATTAGGTAAGCTATCTAACTAATATACAGGGTCGGGCCTAAGTAGGTTTACAGTGTGGAATATGTGAAAAAGTTTATTCTTGTATTATTATTAATTAATTATTGTATTATTTTCCATATGAACAACTATAAATCCTACTTTTGTTATTATGGTTCTTTTTAAAACCAAGAAAGACACATTGAGGTGAATCTGACTATTATAATTATATAAAGAAGGACAAAATTTGTATTACACTTAGATTGGTTTACTTGTGATTCTCCTCTCACCCTAGCCCTAAAGGTTGTCCTTATGTGAATGAAATTGAATGTGCACCTGTTTCAGAAAAGTAGGATGTAGTTGGAGGGATGGAAAAGAGCTGTCTATACAATACATATTGTGTTTTCAAGTTTCAGAGACTTAAAATAGGTGATCCAATTGTTTTCAAAAATCAGTAATAAAAAGGGTGGCAAGTACACTTATTCAGTTTTTCCTATGCATTTTCAGATTTATATATAAATGCAGATTATAAATGGTGTAGTCATATTTTAAGAAGGGAATTTTGAACAATCTAGTTCTTTTGTGTATTATCTGAATATGCAACATGAATGAGAAACCAGAAATTTAAATAAACACTGTTTATTTAAATGAGATCATCTGTATAGGATCACATACAGATGATAAATAGAAAATATGATAAATAGCAGATCTCAAATTACTTTCCCCTAAAGTTAATAGTTCCTAAAAGGCAGAAGTGAAGTCAGCTGGAATACTGAAGATGACCAATTGTCTGGTTGACTCTGTGCAATGGCACCCTCTGATGGCCTGCGAGGGGGACTGTCAGACCTAAAACCTATTCTGCCATCATCTTTCCTCTCAGGTGGGGAAGAAGAGGGAGACAAGTAAATCAAAACCACTGAGACCTTCACAGAACTACACATGCCTTTGTGCCAAGCTAGAGGAGGGAAGGGTAGAGTGTAAAAAGAAAAAAAGCCCTACAGAGGTGAGTCTGATAAGTCTGACTTGTATCCCTATACCTTTCTCTCTTGAGAGACACGGAAGAGTACAGGTTTAACACCAAGAGGCGGAGGAGTCAGAACCATGATGTGCTCTGTCTGTAACTCTTCCACATTAATAGCAAGATCAATTCTACTTCCGGCCAATTCTCACACAATTACTCCATCCCCAGACAATGCTCTCCCCCTCTAAGCACTTCTCTAATGGTGACTCTAGGAAAAACTGCTCCTATCTTCATTCTAATTATGAATTAAACATTAAGATCTAATCAAATCAAGATGGAGTTACTACAGAGTTGCAGTGTTAATGATAATGTCTATCCAGGAAAAGGGAAGGCTGTAGTTGAACAGAAAATATACTAAAGAGCCATTAACCTACTAAATCCTTGAACATACCCACGAGTTTTCTTCAAAATTAAAAACAAAGAAAACCAAACCAACTCTAAAATCTATTTTTCCTGAATAGTTTTTGAAAAATGTAAAATGAAAAAGTTATTTTTGTTCAATTATCACTACTGTAGTAGAACTTTCTACAGAACTTACAAATTAATGTTTTACTTACTTTGTGTATGAAATATTTTCTGTGACTTGGCCTAAAGGCTTTTTTATCCATGAGAAAGTATGTTCTGAGTTCAGAATATCCAACATGCCCACAAGTTGGGAACCCTTTCCTAACCCCGGCACCTGCGTGCCCTGCACTGACCGTTTCTCCTGACGCAGTGGGAGCCGTGGACCCTGCACCAAGAGGAGCAGACACACAGGAGGCGGAAGCAGTCCCCGCAGAGGTGATGGACGTGGCAGAGGGAAAGGCAGCAGTGCTGGCCACTCCCATGGCTGCTGCTGCTGAGGACGGTGCTGGGGCGGCTCCTGAGGTTATTGTAGCCGAAGGATCCAGATGAACAGGACCATACTCTTCCTTCTTACTATTTGTGAAGTCTAGCCGTAAAAATCACAAGTTAATTCCATTTACATTCTTCCAAGTTAAGATTACTTTTGTCTCCCAACAATTTTAATACATAATAGCTACAAATTTGTACAGAAATGTGTACAATTTTGTCATATATTCTATACATGTTTAGTTAATAGTTTGTCACTGTTAACTGATTAATGTCAGCATTAACTACTGAAGACTTCAATCACTTCCTTCAACTTGTGAAAGCAAATGAATGATTTGCTCTTACTTAAAAGAAAAAGATAAATTCTGAACTCAGGTGGGACCTCACAACCATTAAAATAATAAGGTCACACTGAGGATTTATGTCCTTTTGTGTTAATTTATGCAACCATCCTGATAAATGTCCTGATATTTAGATCTTTAGAATAATTTTGTGATATCAACATACCCTCTCATTTCCTTCCACTGCTCCTCTCCTAACAAAAATAGTGTATTTTTATTGATATTTCAGCAATCAATAATAAATCAATAAGTAAATCTTGACACTGTAAAAGAAATGAGCTCTTGCAGGTGGATTATTTGAGTCATGAATTAAGAGCATATTTGCACACTTAACTGATTTTAGTGACACACATATAGTAACTTTCTCTTAAAACTGAACCTTAACCTTAGATTAAAGGAGTGAATAACCTCATTTTCTAGAGAAGCTAGGACTAACGGTCCTATTTTATTTTGTTAATCCTCACCCAAGGATATATTTCCATTGAATTTTTTTTTATTTTTTTAGGGAGAGTGGAAGAGAGAGGGAAAGACATAAACATCAATGTGAGAAAAACACATTGACTGGTTGCCTCCTGCGTGAGCCCCGACCAGGGCCCGGGCCAGGAAGTGCCAACAACGAAGGTACACGCCTTTAAGTGGAATTGAACCTGGGACCTTTTGGTCCGCAGGCAACACTCTATCTACTGAGCCAAACCAGGTAGGGCAACTAAGGGTTCTGTTTTAGATTTTTCCATCCCAATATTAGAATTTGGTTAAAATTTCTACTTAAAACCATATTTTTGTGATACCAAAGAAAGGGTGAGGGTTTTCAGAATATCTGAATGGAGTATGTAACCCTATGTTTAAATAGTTTTCTGTGTTGTCCTCTTTCCATCTAGAAATACAGGCTTTTGTGTAAGTCCTTTTCTTATACTAATTTTATATAAAAAATATAAACTTGGATTAACAAAGTTTAATGAGGACTATAATGCATGTGTCCTTTGAAATCATTTGATGAAAGGGGCCAATTCAATATAAAATACTGCTTTTGCTTTGAAATCAACACATACACATACTGAGTTTTAACATGCTTTTGATAGAAAGTGATTCTATCTGTTTTTAGGTGGGTGGCAGACTTCATATCAGATGTGGGACCAGTACACAGGTCAGGTCTGGCCAAGGGGCTCCCTGAAAGAGAGACAGATGACCCAGTCTCCCTTACCTAGGTGGAGTATGCAGTTTGTAAGTTTTAATAATTATTCTTGCTTTAACTGGGATAAATTTTTTCAATTGTTAAGTATTTTTCTACTCTTCCTAAAATTGCTTTGAAAATTGGCAGGTATAATTTTAAAGGCCATTTTTATTGTCACACTTTGCCTTCTCTTTTTAAAATATATTTTTATTGATTTCAGAGAGGAAGGAAGAGGGAGATAGAAACAGCAACGATGAAAGAAAATCATTGATTGGCTGCCTCCTACACGCCCCCCACAGGGGATCCAGCCCACAACCTGGGCATGTGCCCCGCCCGACCGGGAATTGAACCGTGACCTCCTGATTCATGGGTCGATGCTCAACCACTGAGCCACTATGGCCAGGCACACTTTGCCTTCTTCATAGAAACTTCTAACTTACAATCTATAAGATTTAGGATATTGCACAACATGAGATACACTGCAGATGATAGCAAAAAATCAGGACAAATAAAAAAAATCAAATACTAGTTTTTTTCTAACAAGACAGATACATTAGGAACATTGCATTATTAAAAACTACATTTAAAAAAGCAATTGTTTTAAGGGAAGAAAGGGGGCTAGTTCTAACTTTTTTCTTGTGAGAACTAATAGCTGTTATTAAAATGCCACAAAACCTAAATATCACAGAGCAAATCCAGCATTAGATCACAGTGAACTTTGCCTTTGGTAGCTCCCCCAGCTTACTGTGTCTTATTATTCTTGGTATCTTTATCCCTCAAACATAGCACAAGGCCACTCAAAACCATTGGGTTCCCAGAACTTGGCACTAGCTGCAGAAGATGGTGGATGTAAAAGCAACAGGAGCAAAACAAATCATGTTGGGTAATTATCAGAATACATTTTCTTCAAATCCTGTTATGGATGTTTGCCTGGAGGAGACATAGCTGTATTCGAATTTAAAATTTAAGATGATCAATTTATAAAGGTGGCAAAACACTCTGTTCTAAGTCAATTCATGTGCATAAGTATGTTACGAAAAACAGATTTCTTGTAATTAAATGCAAGAAGTTCTAATGTGGAACCTAATATCTCTTCTGAGTAGATAATTAAATTCTTCAATTTAATACATATAACTTGCTAATAATTATAACTAAAAGCAGACTAGTCTATTATTAGGGGTGGTGAGTTTGTTTTCAGCATTGATACTCAATTAAAAGGCCATTTATTAGAGAAATTAAGCACACTTTGGGGTATCAGCAAGATAAAGTATTTAGCCTTGATAATCTATAATTCTGTGTTTCTAACCTACATATGGGCCATACACCCCAACTGTTTCAGAGAGAAAACAATTTGCTTTAATTCACTGTCACCCACAACATGCACAGTTTATATAATAAAAGTTTGTTGATGTTTTAAAATGAAGCACAGAGAAGTTATTCACTGGAATGAAATCATGTTAATGACGTTACAAAATGAAACCACCTCATGGGTAAGTTAACCATGAGTCTTGGATAGGATTTACTATCAGGGAATACTGCAAAATGTTCGTGTTTCACATGAAACATGGGAGGCTGACTTGAATGAATTAAGACTACAGTAATGTCCAGCTGGCATGGCTTAGTGATTGAGCATCAACCTATGAACCAGGAGATCACGGTTCGATTCCAGGTCAGGGTATATGCCCGGGTTGCAGGCTTGATCCCCAGTGTGGGGCATGCAGAAGATAGTTGATCAACGATTTTTCTCTCATCGATGTTTCTCTCTCTCCCTCTCCCTTCCTCTCTGAAATCAATAAAAAAATATATTTTTAAAAAGCCACTGTAAAATAAAAAATACTGTAGCATGTAAGATGATAGTCATGCTATAATTACTACAGTCTTTTTAAAAAGTGTATTTCAAAAGGATCTCTCTATTAAGCTAAATAAGGTAAAGAAGGTTTATATTATCCTGTTTGTTCAGAGAAGAAAACCAAAGCCCAATAAGGAAACTAGGCCTCATTGCAAATTGGTGGCAAAGGACTCTTGACATGTGCTCTTCCAAGCCATGTTCATGAAACTGACACAAACAACTCAGATTCGAGCCAATACATGGATTTTTCTTTTTTTAAAAAAATTAAATCTTTATTGTTCAGATTATTACAGTTGTTCCTCTTTTTTCCCCCCATAGCTCTCCTCCACCCAGTTCTCACCCCACCCTCTGCCCTTACCCCTCCCACTGTCCTCATCCATAGGTGCACGATTTTTGTCCAGTCTCTTCCCGCATCCCCCACACCCCTTTACCCCCAAGAATTGTCAGTCCACTCCCTTTCTATGCCCCTGGTTCTATTATATTCACCAGTTTACTCTGTTCATCAGATGTTTTATTCACTTGATTTTTAGATTCACTTGTTGATAGATATGTATTTGCTGTTCATAATTTTTATCTTTACTTTTTTCTTCTTCCTCTTCTTAAAGAATACCTTTCAGCATTTCATATAATACTGGTTTGGTGGTGATGAACTCCTTTAGCTTTTTCTTATCTGTGAAGCTCTTTATCTGACCTTCAATTCTGAATGATAGCTTTGCTGGATAAAGTAATCTTGGTTGTAGGTTCTTGGTATTCATAACTTTGAATATTTCTTGCCACTCCCTTCTGGCCTGCATAGTTTCTGTTGGGAAATCAGCTGACAGTCGTATGGGTACTCCTTTGTAGGTAACTGACTATTTTTCTCTTTCTGCTTTTAAGATTCTCTCTTTGTCTTTTGCCCTTGGCATTTTTTAAAAAAAAATATATTTTATTGATTTTTTACAGAGAGGAAGGGAGAGAGATAGAGAGTTAGAAACATCGATGAGAGAGAAACATCGATCAGCTGCCTCCTGCACATCTCCCACTGGGGATGTGCCCGCAACCCAGGTACATGCCCTTGAACGGAATCGAACCTGGGACCTTTCAGTCCGAAGGCCGACGCTCTATCCACTGAGCCAAACCGGTTTCGACTGCCCTTGGCATTTTAATTATGATGTGTCTTGGTGTGGTCCTCTTTGGATTCCTTTTGTTTGGGGTTCTCTGTGCATCCTGGACTTGTAAGTCTATTTCTTTCACCAGGTAGGGGAAGTTTTCTGTCATTATTTCTTCAAATAGGTTTTCAATATCTTGCTCTCTCTCTTCTTCTGGCACCCCTATAATTCGGATGTTGGTGCGCTTGAAGTTGTCCCAGAGGCTTCTTACACTATCTTCATATTTTTGGATTCTTTTTTCTTTTTGCTTTTCTGGTTGGGTATTTTTTGCTTCTTCGTATTTCAAATCTTTGACTTGATTCTTGGGATCCTCTTGTCTGCTGTTGGATCTCTGTATATTATTCTTTATTTCAGTCAGTGTATGCTTAATTTCTAGTTGGTCTTTTTTCATATCCTCTAGGGTCTCACTAAACTTATCGGCGGTTTCTAGAAAATTCTTGAAAAACCTTATAACCGTGGTTTTGAACTTTATATCCAGTAGTTTGCTTTCCTCCATTTCTGTCATTTGTGACCTGTTTCTTTGTCTCTGCATTTTTTATGCTTCCGTGTGTTGATAGAGTGGCTTTGTGTGCTAGGTGTCCTATAGGGCCCAGTGGCTCCCCAATTACCTGAGGTGGACACTCTTGGTGCACCCCTTTGTGGGCTTTGTGCACAGTCTTGTTGGTTTTTTTAAAAATATATTTTATTGATCTTTTACAGAGAGGAAGGGAGATGGATAGAGAGCTAGAAACATCAATGAGAGAGAAACATCGATCAGCTGCCTCCTGCACAGCCCCCATTGGGGATGTGCCCGCAACTGAGGTACATGCCCTTGGCCAGAATCGAACCTTGTCCGTTTTGTCTTTTGGTTGTATTTTTGAAGTGGTTGTGTGATGCAGCAATTTCCGGTGTTTACCTATGCCGCCATCTTGGTTTCTCCTTCTCTTGAAATAATTTTCTAATTTTTTATTTCTATAGACAGATCTATATTTATAACTTTTGGAAATGAGTTTTAATTGTAGTTTCTCTTAAATTGGAAACTAGCTACTTAGGAAAAGATAAAAATAGGCCTTCAGTTCGCAGGCCAACGCTCTATCCACTGAGCCAAACTGGTCAGGGTATCTTGTTGTAGTTAAGCCTTGATTGTTGTAGGTATCACTGGGAAGAATTGACCTCCAGGCCAATTGGCTGTGAGAATCAGCTGTGTCTGCAGTGGGAAAACTTCTGTGCTGAAGACACCCTTCTGGGGCAAGACTTGCTTCAGTGGGGCTTTGGTGCTCACTGAGTCTGCCCCCTGAGTGTGTCCCTTATGGATCTGAGGAGTTGTAATCTGGATGGTTCCACTCTGACCACTGGGTACACTGGCTCTTGGATCTAAGGAGGTGCTAATTTAGCCTCTGCCTGAGGCTACCCAGCAGGAGCTACGAAGAGATCTGCAGATTCCCCTTCCTTGTTTGGGGTTTGGAGGTGCCCAGATGAGGCCCAGCTGTGAAGCAATGCAAGCTGCTGTGGGGCCTTGGGCCTTCTCTTGGAAGTTCTGGGTCTGTCTGGCCCAGCTGCAGTTTGTTAGGTAATTTTCAGATTGCAAAGGGCCAGGGCATTCATATGCAAAAGCCTCTGCTGCAGCTTGGGTGGGGTGGGGTCTCAGGGAATCAACAGGGCGGAGCAAGCAGCTATGGCTGATCCTCAGCCCTGCCCTAAGAGGCCCCGAGTCTCAGTGTCCCGGTAATTGCTGCAAGCACCTCTGAGAGAAAGCCGCCCTCGAGTTCCGAGTTCTGCCCGCTGCCAGACAGTCCAGTTTCTCCCCGTATGAGTCTGGGTCCCCAGAGACTTCCCGGAACTGGAGTTCAGAGCAGTTGGGGGCTTGTGACTCCCTCCCGATTCAAAAAGACAGCCGCGTCCTCAGTTGCCAGCTCTTGCCGCGTGTGCCTCCATACCTCTGCACTTTACTTCTGCACCTCCTCTGAGTCTCAGTGTGCTTTTCTCTTTCCTTCTAGTTGTAGAATTTCCACTCAGCCAGCCTTCCTGTACTTCTGGATGATGTCCGTTTTGTCTTTTGGTTGTATTTTTGAAGTGGTTGTGTGATGCAGCAATTTCCGGTGTTTACCATCTTGGCTTCTCCTTCTCTTGAAATAATTTTCTAATTTTTTATTTCTATAGACAGATCTATATAACTTTTGGAAATGAGTTTTAATTGTAGTTTCTCTTAAATTGGAAAACAAGCAATTTTTAAAAATGGAAAACCATGACTACTAGATAAGAAATATTTAATCAACAAAATAGTCCAAGGAAACTAGCTACTTAGGAAAAGATAAAAATAGAAATTTTGCACTTAAAGGCATTATACATTCAAAGCATTGTTGTAACTCTGAGCCTATATACTTAAGAGTTTAAGTAACCCTGAGTAGTGAATTTTCACGATAGATTTAAAACTGGATATGACACTATAAAGTTAAAAATAAGAGCCCCAGCTGGTTTTGCTCAGTGGATAGAGCATCGGCCTGTAGGCTCAAGAGTCCCGGGTTCAATTCCGGTCAAGGGCACATGCCTGGATTTCGGGCTCGATCCCCAGTAGGGGGCATGCAGGAGGCAGCCAATCAATGATTCTCCCTCTCCCTCCTCTGAAATTAATTTAAAAAAATACATATATATTAAAAATAAAATACAGTACTTGGATGAGTCATATCTATTGCAGAAAATTAGTACTATAGACCACACTAATTACTGAAATCTCAAATTCTTTTTGAAAGTAGGCAGAGACTCTTAAGTAAAACACTAACCTGCATCATTTCTGTTTTGAAACATTGTCATGGCTTCAAGATTTAATGCACACACCCCCCGCATGAAAGCTTTCTTCATGGAATCTTCAAAGTGCTCTTTTTCATGTTGCATTCTTTGGATCTCAGCTTTTGCATTTTCCAAAGCTCCAGATAACTAAAATAAGGCAATTTTTTTAAAAAAAGGGTTGTAATACAAGGAAGGATATTATTTATTGTTAAAAAGTAGACTTACACTGTGAAGTATTTTTAGGTGAAATACAGGTACTAAAAACACTTTGCCACATGCGTCTTCTGCTATGTGTCTCACTTTATTTTAAACGGTGCATCTTACTTTTAGTGTCTTTCAACAAACCATTTCCATTTCTAACCATAAAGTCAAGGTTCAAACAAGGGGAATTGTATACCAGTCCCACTGACGGTTGCTGATGTGTTTTAATTACAGAAAAAGATAAACCATTTCTTACCATAAATCTTTTATGTAGAATATTAAACAAAATACACTAAGAGCCACAGACAACCCTCACTCCTTTTGGAAAAAAAAATAACTAAGTGCCTGTAATATTAACAGCATTTTAAAAAACTAAATGATACTATAGAATTTAAAGTGCCAAGTGATATTAGTTGCAACACATTTTCCCATAGACGAAATCTAAAGGAACTCCATTTTTTGCATGTCATTTTCAATTGCAGAAAATTGTATTATGATACTGATTTTTAACATTAAGAACTTTGTACTATAATAAAATATTTTTTCCTTTTAGTATTTTATTTCAAGAGGCCTACTGCATTCTTCAATACAGTTTTTATTTCATTTTGAGTCTCAAATGTTTTCCCATGGAAACGTTAATTTTATTATTAGAAGTCAATGGGAAAATAATTCCAATTTGTATCCAACTGCTTTAAATCAACCTTATATGAATAAAGTTTATTTAAATTAACAAGAGGATAAACATTTTTGGTTTTGGTCTCTATTCTTGGCTAAATAAAAGCCAAAAGAAGTATAAGAAAGCATGCTTTAAGAGATATAAGGATCTATAAGTGATTTACATTGTCAAGACACATGTACACACAAGAGTTCCAATGTAAGTTTGGAGGCCAGAGTTATAACTTTTAAAGAATAAATAAGTCTGTAAATCTGACTCATTAGTGTTGTTCTTCCCCAAATAGTCACATAGTCTCATTTGAAGATACACTGCATTAAATGGGTCGCTCTGCCTAACTATAATGTAACAGTGAGTGATGCTACCCATCTTGTTTATTTCTATTAAAGGAAAGTAAAAATAAATTAAAAAATAGAAGTTTTACCACAGCAACTTTGTTTTCATAATCATTGGAAATTTGGACACAAACTTCTTCAGCTCTTGCTTGACAAGCTCGCTCCACCACATCCTTCCACTTCTTTTGCACCGTAGAATGCCAGCCTATCCACACTTTCTTCAGTAAATTTCTCTGGAAGTACTGGTCAGCTAGTTTCCCTTCATAAGCCTAAATGAAAGTATTATAACCTTAAAACACAGTGCACTGGTAAATACACTGGCAGTAATAAAAAGAAACCTAAAACAGTGGTGAGCAGTGTACATACATTATTTAATCCTGTGTAGTTATTCTTATCTGCATAGAGGAGAACAGGCTTATAGAGGTTAAGTAACCTGCCCAAGTAGACAGGGAAAAGCCATCCTTGCCTCATTCTAGAGCCTAAGCTCTTTCTTATCCATTATACATAATTGTTTAATGCAACTAATCAAGTTAGGGGAAAAACAACAACAAAAAACAAATGAAAGAAAATGAGTAACTTGCCACTTGCCATCTTAGTTCTGAATCTGCATGACCCTTTAGCTGAAACCAGGACTAGGACAACAGAGTGGTTGGAAGGCAAAAAGGTAACTGTGGCTTCAGATGGTATTGTTTTCCCTTCAGCTTGGTGGACACCACCATAAGCAAGATTAATTTAATTTACATACTTTCATCATATATAGTGCCAAACTGATTCAAACAGGAACATATGCTATTCTTTTTTTCAATGAATTTAAATTCTTTTGAAGAAGTAGTTCCAATTTTCAATCTTCTTAAATTTGAAAAGCTATTCAAAAAGCAATGGCAGCCTCAACTATTTCAGCTAACATAAAAACATAATATATTCTCATTATGTCACTTGATAAATAACTTTCAAAATATGGTCTAAATACTCATATTTTAAATAGCTCTTTTCAGTCTGATTAATGTAGATTGATCTATTGGGATTAATAAAAAAATGAAAGCATTAGGAGGAATCCTATTCCATGATAGTGGAATATTAAATATTGATGTTATTAATACTAAATATTGTTTTAAAAATATTAACATTTAATATTAATTTATTGGAACTAATGCACAGAGATCAGTCGATGGCTCACATGAGCATTACATTAAAACTATATATATATATATATATATATATATATATATATATATATATATATAAAACCACCTCCTATACTCTTGAGTCTTTATACTCTGTCTTCTTGTAGGATATATACCTATTCATACTTTTCCACTTCTGAGACAATTACTTATTATTCTCTCTCAGTTTGCCTGTACTCTGATATATTGATTCAGCTCTTATTTAATTAAAATGAACAATGTTCAAATTTAAATTATGTACAAACTAAGGATAATTTTTAAAAAGCTATACAGACATGGCTTTAATTCTCACTCTAAGGCAAGTCTACACAACGAACATTTATACAATTTTATAATGTATAACTATAGTGTTGCCTCTTTTTGAGGAGAATGCATTCAGGCATTTTACAAGGAGAAACAATATGGGAACCATATGATATGTTAAAGACTGTAAATTCTTTTTCCATATAATCGTATCTGAGTCAAATTTGTTAAAGGGGTTCCATTACCAAGGCATTTGTAATTTAGGTATAATCCCTACTAACCTATTGTGACAAAGGAAATGATATATCAATAGATCTATAAAATATGAGGTATTTTTTCCCAAACCATACCAAAATCAAATTCCTTGAAATGAGAGCAACCTTAAATTCATTTTGACTTGATCCTAAACAATTCTGAATCTAGAAGTCTAATGTGTGTCAGTCGTCTTTTCGTTTTTATACTTACATCCTGTCTGGATTTGACATGGCCAATCCGCCAGTGGAAGAATGTTCTCATCAGCTCCATCCTTTCCTTTTGCTTGCCTATGGCGTGAGACAAGCTGGAAATCACCTGTGAACAGCAACTAGGCCAGTTACTGTGATGTTACAGTAACAGCTGCTAGTAAAGTGTTTTTTCTCATATATCAAAAAGTGCTAGAGAATATCAATGGATCACTACTATAGTCATCCAGTTAACTTCATTATTATCTTTAAAAAGACCAAAAACACTTCTCCACATGAATACACTACATGAAGGGAAACAAAAGAGGAAATAAATCTCATTATGTGTATCTTGGTAATCACCAAAAGAAATTTATGTACATGAAAATTAATATAGGGTGGGACACAAGTAGGTTTGGTTATTCCTATGGAAAATAATACAATAACTAAAAATTAATATAAGAATAAACTCTGTGTTTCACCTAAACCTACTTGTGCCCTACCCTGTATGGTGATTGACATTTAATTCAAGAAAAACAAGCATTCTTTGAAAGTTTTGCTACATATACAAAAAGTCTTTATTGACTAGGATTGAGGGCAGAGGCCAGATTTTATGTATCTTTCTAGGCTCTAAATACCTTTAGTACCTTAGATTATAAGTTTCTCAATAACTGTTTTATTTAAAAAATATTTTCATTGATTTCAGATTGAAAAAGAGAGAGAGAGAGGAACATCAATGATGAGAGAGAATCATTCATCAGCTGACTTCTGCACGCCTCTTGCAGGGGATCGAGCCAACAACCCCCAGTATGGAACCGTGACCTCCTGGTTCATATGTCAACACTCAACCACTGAGTCATGCTGAACCATGCTGGCTGGCCAGGCTCAATAACTATTTAATAATTTTTTTCTGAATTCAACAAACTCATAAAAGAAAATAGTCATACTATGATGTAATTCTTCAATGTTGTTATTCTTTTATTTTATTTATGTATTATTATATTTTTAAAATGTTTTTATTAATTTCAGAGAGAGGAAGGGAGAGGGAGAAGGGATAGAAACGTCATTGATGAGAGAGAATCACTGACCGGTTGCCTCCTGCATGACTCCTACTAGGGACCGAGTTAGCAACCCGGGCATGTGCCCTGATCAGGAATTGAACCATAACCTCCTCATGGGTACATGCTCAACCACTGAGTCACAATGGCTGGGCTTATTCTTGTTCTTTTAAAAAAAATTTATGGAGGCTTTTAAATCCTAAGACAATACTCTCTCTCTCTCTTTTTTTTTTAAATATATACTTTATTGATTTTTTTACAGAGAGGAAGGGAGAGGAATAGAGAGTTAGAAACATCGATGAGAGAGAAACATCGATCAGCTGCCTCCTGCACACCCCCCACTGGGGATGTGCCTGCAACTAAGGTACATGCCCTTGACCGAAATTGAACCTGGGACTTTTCAGTCGGCAGGCTGATGCTCTATCCACTGAGCCAAACAGGTTAGGGCGACAATACTCTCTCTTATAAAGTACCGAGTAGCTGAAATGTCTATCTAAAAATGGCCACAAAAAGAAATTTTGTAAATTGGGCACATTTACTGAGAGATATTTATTCTGGTTTCTTTAAATAATTTTTAAAAGTGGAAAAGGGCATACATTCTAAGATATTGTTAATATTCTCTTTCTAAAGTTGTATGGTGGTGGCTATCCACTTTCTTTGTTTTAAAAAATTGGACATATATGTACAACTCTTTTTTTATGTGTGATACTTTAAAATTAAAAGCCTTAAGATGGAGTTTTGAGGATAATAGAGAAAATGACTGATATCAATATCTATTTAAAAAAGTAAACTATGAAAAATGTTCAATTTTATATCATACCTTGCAATACCAAAAGAAAAGTATATATTTTAAAAAAACACTGGACTCCTTATCCAGTTAATTAAAACAGTGAGTGCTACATCTACAGACTAGTAGTTGAGGTGTTTGCTGAGTCCCTTCTCTCAGAAAGCCACCATCCCCCTGGGGGCAGCCACTGATTTGTTGCCCATCTGCTTTGTTCAAGGTGTTGTCTGGAGGCACAAAATTAGCACGCACCTGAACCTTACTTTCAAGTTCTTAACAGGCTAACAGAAAGTGAAATAAAAGGTGCTGTTTATCAATAAAAAAACAGACTTCTTCAGTGAATAAAGACTTATCACAGATATAATGTGAGAAACTTAAAATAACCCCTAAAAGATGGCTTAAAATGTAGATAATGCTGGTTCCCTAAAGTTCTCTTATGGGCAGTTAGGAAGGAAAAATTAGTATGTACATTTAGCATGTACTCTTAAAACTCCAAGCACATTGAAGTTATCTCAAAGATAAAATGGCATGACCATGGCATGTTTAATAGGAAGATAAATTGTATATCCATGCACCTATTTTTCTACCAGTTTCTGACGTGATCTTCCCTTTGTATCTTGCATGACCTAAAAAAAAACACACTTCCTGGCCTCTTAGGGCGGAAGGGAGAAAGGAGACAGAGGGAGGGAGAAAGAAAGGAAGAGAGGGAGACAGGGAGACAGGGAGAGAGGAAGAGAAAAGGAAAGTGAGGGTGAAGGGCAGAGAGATGTGAGAGAGATACATCTATTGGTTGCCTGCTGCACTTGCCCCGACCGGGGATCGAACCCGAAACCTGGGTATGTACCCTGACTGGGAATCAAATGGATGACCTTCTGGTGCACCAGACTATGCTCTAACCAACTTAGCCACACCAACCAGTGTACTTCCTGACACTTATTATCTAGCAAGACATTTACTGAATCCCAGTTAAAAGAAATATAAAAGAGAACACCTCATCTTTTCTCCCAATGGAAATTTCATAGGCTTTTTGCAGCTCCTTCAAGCTGTTGATCTGGTTGCACAGTTGTTTTAAATGTGCTGCATGTTTATCTTTCTCTTTTTTCATTTCCATACGGTGCCAGTCAATAAAATTTAGTCTCCATTTAGTTAGTTCAGATATGACGTTTGTCTGAAAAAGAAATATTCTGATAACTAAGCAGTTTGTTCCTTAATAGTGCTTCTTGAAATTACACCGAAATTAAGAAACACTTTTAAAAAATCAGAACAAGCAATCAACATGAAAGCTATTTTTTTAAAAATCACTAATGAAAACATTTACAAGTTCAACAGTTACAGCTCCTCTTGGTTCACATTCAGCATACTCAAGATAGGAATTTTTTTTATTTTAAGTTACTTTGTATTAAGTCTTATTGTCATTTAAAAAAATTTCAGGTTTTATTCATTAATTCACTAAATAAACAGTTTCTTTGTTTATTCAAGAACTTAAATGTCCATATTAAGATGGGTTAGAAAAAAGGAAGTGTAGGGCCATGCGCTAGGGTGAGCCATAGGACTGGATGTTATTTAGATAGAGGTGGACAGTGGGAACCATGGGAGTTGATGCTTTCTTCCCCCAAATAATTTATCACAATGGCTACCTTAACAAATTGCTAAGTCTGATCCCTTTTCACTCTACTGATTGGCATAAATAAAAAGACCAAATAATCATGTTATCAAAAATCAGATAATATGGTTAACTGAACATAGAACAATTTAAGTGGTTGGTGGTACACCACTCCAGTTGACTTACACCATGAAAAGAAGTATGAAACCTGTTCCATGAGGGAAATGGTAGAAACTATACTAAAAGATTATATCTGGGATTTATAGTTCAAATAACAGAGAAATATAGATGCCCCAGAACTCTCATGACCATAATTTCTCTATGCATGTGAATATTCAGTTTCGTTTTCTCAAACTATCTTTCAGAAAAATGGTTATTTTCTCAACTATATTTTAAATAGCAAAAAGAAACCCTGCCGCTTTTTTTTTTGGTAAATTTTTTTTAAAGCGAGTCTTTTTTTTTTGTTAATGTTTTTATTGATTTTTAGAGACAGAGAAAAAGAGAGAGAGAGATAGAAACATCGATGAGAGAGGAACATCACTGATGGGCTTATTCCTGCATATACCCCTACTGGAGATAGAGCCCACCACCCAGGTATGTGCACCGACCAGGAATCAAACTGGCAACCTCTTGGTTCCTGGGTTGACACTCAACTGCTGAGCCAAACTGGCTAGGCTCTCTGCCATTTCTGTAATACTTTGTTTTACTTAAAGGCCACTAACATTACTAAAAATAAAAATCTGTTTTTATAGAGATATCAGTTATACATTGTGGTTGCTATAAGAATGGCTATAAAATGAATACATATTGCTAAAATTGGATTTTGTATTTCATATAAAGGAGACATTTTCATTAGTCATAGCTACAATATAGTAAAGGTTCATCGAGTGTCTCAGTCACATACAGGGTTGGTCTTTCAGAACATCTGAGAAATTCAGTAGACTGTCCCATCAACTATTTAAAACCTTGCTATTTAAAGTATGTTTTCTGAACCAGCAGCATCACCTGGGATATTGTTAGAAATGCATAATCTCAGGTCCTCAAAAACAACTGAATAAAAAGCTGAAGTTCAACAGGATTCCTGGGGGATTCATATGGACATCAAAGACTGAGAAGCACAGATTTTAGACGTTGGACTGATCTAAAACTAAAGTATAACAGAACCTTTTATTTTAAAGAAAAGAAAAACTGGGATTAAGAGCAAAACTATTATACTAATCCAACAACAATACCTTAAGACCTGAACTCCAAAGATCCAGTACACTTTCCACCTTTTGAAGGTTTTCTTCAGAAACAACAGAATTGCCCACAATTATTTCATGGATACCTGGATGACTAGAATTAGACCCAGGTGTGGAAGAGTCGCCTAAAAGATTTGAACTGAAAAAATCCATGACGGGGTGAAAAGGCTTCCTTGGTGATGACACTGGTGATAACCCTAGAATGAAAAAAAGTTTAGTGGTTAAGGCAAACTGAAAACAACCCAAAATGGTGAGGACTTATATTGGAAGGCTAGAAGATGTCAGTTACTATAGAGGCTGAGAAAAATGCAGAGAAATGACTTTTCAGTGTACTTAATCTGGATAATTTAAATTTCAGTATTATCACTGATTTAGGACTAATCAGCATGAGATGCCTCCTATACTCAAATAAAGATGCTTCATATATCCAGTTCCAGCCTGAGCTGAAACTATTATTATCTGTGTCATCATATCAGCATTTTCTAAGTGCTTTGTATGTTCCTATAATAAAAAGGTTATAAGGATTAGCTTTCATAATACATGCTACCCTAAAAAATACATACTATTATCTCCATTTTACTGATTCCAAAACTGAGGTTCAGAAAGGGTTAAGGAATTGACCAAGGTCAGAGTGGTTGTATATAGGTTATTATTACTTTATGTAGAACACTGGGATGAGTTTTAATACTACTAAATGTCAGCACTGTAAGTAGAGACTAGTAATTTAATTTATCAGATACTCAACTATAAGATACCCTGTTTGCCCTCAACATATAGGTAAGAAATATATATACTTTATATAATAAAGTATACACACACACACATATATATACATATACACACACATACATACACACACACACACACACACACACACACACACACTCCCATCTCCTGCCATACAAGGTGTAGAGATGGGAGTGAGAGCCAGAGCCAGAAAGAGAACTGGTATCTATCTTTAAAAAAGCACAGAATATTTTATCAAACATGTATGTTGGAATTAGAGACTACTGATCATCACACTTTTGTTATGAGAGTCCTATGACTAAGCCTGAAGGGCTTTTCTCTCTTCCTTACTGAATGACTCAAGATAAAGATAAAGATAAATCTACTATAGAACTTGTTACTTAAAAGTAAATCAAGAATATTTGCAAAAGGAGGAAATCATTCTCTAATATGTATGTTTTGCATAAAATATATAAACAAATGGTTTAAGCTAGTCACACTATGTAGCACTACCTATATATTCTGAAGATGGTTTAGGAACTCAAATAATAAGGCACATGAATAGTATTTTTTTACTAGATTTTACTAACTAGATCTGCACTCATGGACTCTGCTTTTTTTTTTTTTTTTTAATAATACACTCACCTTTAAAAAAATGGAATCTTGGTTCGCTATTCACTTGACCAAGAAAACCCCACAAAATCAGGCAAATTAAGAGGTTCAGATCTTTAAGTTCACTTTAAGCACACTTGTGAAACTGCCAAGGTCATCATGGGGATAGGAATCCAAAAAGCCACCATGTATTTGAAGGATGTCATTTTATAGAAGCTATTAGAGGCTCGGGGAGGTCCCTCAGCCTGGCCTGTGCCCTCTCAGTCTGGGAACCCGAGGGGGATGTCCACCTGCTGGCTTAGGCCTGCTCCCCAGGATATCGGGCCTAAGCTGGCAGTCAGACATCCCTCTGGCAGCCCGGGAGCCCTTAGGAGATGTCCACTTGCAAGCAGGGAGCAGGCCTAAGCTGCAGTCGGACATCCTTAGAGCTTCTGAGGAGGCGGGAGAGGCTCCTGCCACCACCACTGTGCTGGCAGCTGGCAGCCTGGCTTGTGGCTGAGCAGAGCTCCCCCTGAGAGAGCACACTGACCACCAGAGGGCAGCTCCTGCATTGAGCGTCTGCCCCCTGGTGGGCAGTGTGTGTCATAGTGACCAGTTATTCCCAGTGGTTCTGCTGTTAGGGTCAATTTGCATATTACCCTTTTATTATATAGGATAAATGCCTGGTGCACAGGTGGGGGCCCTGAAGGGTGTCCTGGATCAGGGTGGGGGTCCTGCTGGGATGCCTGGCCAGCCTGGGTGAGGGGCTGATGGCTATTTGCAGGCTGGTCAAGCCCCCCAGTAGGGACCCTCACCCCATGGGGGTGTGGCGAGCCTGGGTGAGGGGCTGATGGCTGTTTTCAGGCTGGCCACACCCCCTTCAAGGTGGGGGTCCCTACTGGGTGCCTGTCCAGCCTGGGTGAGAGGCTGATGGTTGTCTGCAGGCTGGCCAAGCCCCCAGCAGGGACCCTCAGCCCATGGGGGTGTGGCCAGCCTGGGTGAGGGGCTGAGGGCCGTTTTCAGGCTGCCCACAGCCCCTTCAGGGTCGGGGGGGGGAGGTCCCGCTGGTGTGCCTGGCCAGCCTGGGTGAGGGGCTGATGGCCGTTTTCAGGCTGGCCATGCCACCCGGCGACCCAAGCTCCCAGCCTCTCCTTTTTTTTCTGGGATTTATTTATCTTCTATAATTGAAACTTTGTAGCCTTGAGTGGAGCCCAGGACCGGCCAGGGCAGGCAAGAAGCTTGGCTTCCTCCATCGCCAGGGGCAACCCAAGCCTCCTGCTTGCTCCAGCTCTGTGGCTGCCGCCATCTTAGTTGGGTTAATTTGCATACTCGCTCCTGATTGGCTTATGGGCGTGACTTCAGCATAGCAGAGGGACAGTTAATTTGCATGTTTCTCTTTTATTATATAAGCTATATGTGCTATTCTGTCGTTACAATGGTAGAGTTGGTAGGTGTGTCCAGTCCAAACAGTTGTGCTGGACACAGAGTCGGTGGCCCAAAAAGAGTGCTAAATTTTTGCTGCACATACTTAAAAATGTAGAGAGTAATGCTGAGCTTAAGGGTTCAGATGTAGAGTCTCTGGTCACTGAGCACATCCAGGTAAATAAAACTCTTAAGATATGGTACAGAACTTACAGAGCTCGTGGGCAGATGAACCTATACATGAGCTCTCCCTGCCACATTGAGATGATCCTTACTGAAAAATAGCAGACTGTTCCAAACCAGAAGAGGAGGTTGCACGGAAGAAAAAGATACCATAGAAGAAACTGAAGAAACAAAAACTTAAGCCTGAGAGTAAATTCAGCATGAAATAAATACTAATAAAAGTAAAAGAAGGAAAAAAAAAAAAAAAGAACTTGGAAGATCCCCCAGAAATTACATTGCCCAAGCCTTCTATTTATAAGTGAGAAAACTAAAGGATAGAGGCACTTCTTATATGGTGGCTTAAATGGCCCTTACATTAAATAACATTGAATCACCTAGTATGAAAAGTGATCTATTTTTACTATATTATTTATTCTATGTCAAAGAAAAAGTTTCAATCTGGTGCTAGTATGCTTTTAAAACCTCTGTAACACTTGCTAATCAGGCTGAACCCACCACCACCAATAGTATTCAACCAAACTTTAATAACTTGTTTGAGTTGCATTTATTTTTACCATTGCTTTCTATTTGTAACAAGATTATATTAGTTTTATACTGTAAACAGTAATAACATATGTAACATATTTTTCTTTTAAAATAAAAAGCTAAAAATTAATATCTATGAAAACACTTAAATGATAGAATAGGTGGAATAAAGATAGGAAGAAAATCATAAAGTTAGTACACAAATGCCTGAAAATTGGGAAATGATGCATTATGCAAAATTTAAATCGGCCAAACTATCTGATATCCTTTTGAATCTTTAAAAATATTTTTCCTCTTGCCCTAGCCAGTCTTGCCCAGTGGATAGAGTGTCAGCCTGGGGATTGAAGGGTCCCCAGTAGATTCTGATCAAGGGTACATGCCTGGGTTGTGGGCTCAGTCCCCAGTAAAAGGGCGTGCAGAAGGCAGCTGATCAATGATTCTGGCTCATCATTGATGTATTTTTCTCTCTCCCTCTCCCTTCCTTCTCTGAAAACAATAAAAATAAGGACTTATATGCAAGCATATAGCCTAACCAATGGACACAGACAACAGGAGGGTGAGAGCAATGGTGGTGGTGGGGGGGGGTGTAACGTGGGGATAAGGACACATATGTAATAACTTAATAAATAAAAATTTTTAAAAAATAATAATAAAGAGAGCCATAACAAAAAATAAAAATAAAAGTATATTAAAAAGAAAATTGCCCTCTAACCTAGGAGATTTAAGAAAGGATGTCACATAGTATAATAAATAAACCTGTTTTTCTTAATTGTACTATTTTGATTATTATAAAATTATTTTAAATAGTATTAATAAGTTAGAAACAACAGCATTTTAAAATCCTGTCAATAATATGCTAAAATATTCCTCTTACTACATAGATAATATTCATCAAACCACAAAATGTTGTATATTAATAAAAACAAGCTAAAGAAAAGTAATACCTTCTGTCTTTGAATGACTTGAAATATTTAAATCACATCCTTTTCTAACTTCCGTCCTTGTTTCTCTTTCTCTTCTTACTGTAAAGAAAAACACCCCAAAGCACTCTTAAATAAAATATCTATTCACACACACCTAACTTAAGAAGGTTGAGGTATATAAATAAGATTTTAGAACAAAGAAAATATAACATGGTGGATTAGAGGAACATTAAAAAAAAGGAACAAGAATAAAGAAAAGATTCTGAAACTAGAAAAAGTCTTATATTAATAAACTCAATTCTACCCACCAAATATGGATGAAAGAGAAGTCAGTCTACTGTGGCATTCAATTCACACTGAGAATCAGGGGATGAATGACATTAGAACTTAGAAAAGGCTATGCTGTATAATAACATTGGATATTTCCAGGGGCTGGCTGCTTTTCACTAGCTGCAATCAAACTAAAGTGACACCCGTTCCCCCCAAAACAGGGACTTCCTTACTTCCACCTCAGGAACCTTTAGTCAATACATGGTGAAAAGGAAAGTGGGAAAAACCTCACAAGAATGACTTTGCCAACTCTGACACACCTCACTTATACTAAACAATGGCAATACCAAGAATAAAGGGAATGGGATGATAAATTTACATAGTCCATTCTAACCAAGTCCATGTGTAAATCAAGATAATCTAAATTCTCTGCATGTTGTATGCTTAGGTCTCAAGTCCTTTTTGATAAAGGCGGAGCATAAACAAATACTACCCTACATACTAGAAAAGAACAGGGGTCTTAAGTCTCAAGTGATAACCGTGAAAGGTTGCAGAGTTGGGGCATGGAAAGAACTCCTGTGTTGTGTCACTAGGAACAACAGTACAGTAATACTGTAGCCAATGGAAAAGCAAACAAGCTTTTGGTGACCACCTTAAGGGCAGAGGTTTAGAGGGCTAATACACTAATTGCCTAAATTCATTTGTAAGGGAGTATGCAACACTTGGGTTTGCTCAGTAGGAACTCCATGTTGAGGTGCCAGTATAATCAAAACAGTCAATATCACTGATATAAAAATGAATTCAAGGGTCGTATCTCTTAAAGATCAATAAATTTGGATAGAAAGTATTCAGTGCTAAAATGGTTCAGTGGTAGAATAAGTATATGTATTTTACAATTGTGGTCTACTTGTTGATCCAATGCAACAGGTCAAAGATTGAGAAGCAATGGAAAGGCCATGTCTACAGAGGGAGAAGGACAATAGACACTAGGGCTGTGACTTATAAGAAAACGAGGAGCCTGCTGACTGTGAGTAGGCTGTGTCATGTGCCTTCAAGGAGGGATCCTTAGGGTTTATTTATTGTTGATAACTGCGCATTATCAGAGCTGTTTTGTAAGGGCTTTCTGTACCCTTATTTAGAGTGAGCTCTTTGGGATCCTGTACTTTGCTAAATAAGGGACAAATAGGTAAAGGGAGCTTCATCCTTCTTTTTCAACCTTTTACTCATCTATCATCATACATCCTGATTTGTATTAGCTCTAGCTCTCAATTCTGTCACTGACATAGTCCAAGGATGGATTCACGTTTGTGGTGATAATTCAAACAGTCCTCTATGCCTATATAAATACTGCTGACAAAGTCCCCGCACATGGTTCATAAACTTAAGGGGTTCTGAGGGCTACCTATGGACCATCTTTAATTTGGGGGATTGGGCATTTATTTTTCAAGATAATCCTGACAAATAACCATTAGAACAAATACAGAGATGTTACATATTTCACTAAGAGACATGCAATGGCTACAGTGTTGCTTTAAATTTATTACTTTCAGAAAAGTAAGTCAAAGGAAGCTCTAAGATCCAGCTGTCATATAAGAGCCAAGAATAACATAGTAAAATGTAAAGAGTTTCCCCAGATAATAGTGATATTCACCATTGACTGGAGAAGCATTTTCACAATCATAAGTCAATTGCATTAATAAGCTCAAATAACATCTTAGGAGATGTTTTGAAAACTATACATAACTTTGATTCTGAAGAATATCATCAATTATAGTATGAAATCTAACATCTGGCACCACTTCTCCCTTAGAATGAGATGGCTGTGAAGTACCTGGTTCAATATTTGGAGTCACTGTAGTATAACGAAGCAATTCTTCATACTCTTCCTATGAGAAACCAATAATAAATAATGTTTTATAACACTGTTGCAATGGACACTCAGGCAAAAGAATAACAAAAGCTGTACATATTTACTATGTATAAAAGTGTATAGCTATTTTATATTATTATATTTTGAAATATTTTCAACAATAGGACATGGGTAGGCTTTCAACGGTAATCAAGAACCAGTAGGGTAACCCTGACCGGTTTGGCTCAGTGGATAGAGCGTCGGCCTGCGGACTCAAGAGTCCTGGGTTCGATTCCAGTCAAGGGCATGTACCTTGGTTGTGGGCACATCCCCAGTGGGGAGTGTGCAGGAGGCAGCTGATCGATGTTTCTCTCTCATCGATGTTTCTGACTCTCTATCCCTCTCCCTTCCTCTCTGCAAAAAATCAATAAAATATATTAAAAAAAAAAAAAAGAACCAGTAGGGTTGTAAGTTGAGGGTTACTAATAAACAGACTCTTAGTTGGGCTGACATTCTAAGCAGATAACCAATAACACAAAATTATTTCTGGTGTGTCTAGAAAACCCTTCCTTATCCCTGTCTTAAATTCTACTCTAGAGATTTATTATTTTGATGTAAAGCTTTGTCTCCTACCAAAACAACTTGAGATCTTACAAGGTGCTTACATTTTAATAAAAAAGGGGTCTGGACCCAACAATTACAATGTATGGGCTTTTGCACACCAGCTGGGTATCTTACAATTCAACTCAATCTGACACTATCCACCAGAGTTAGCATCAGATCACAGGTTAAGGGTTCAGTCCTATAAGACAGCTCCCCGCACCCCCAACTTCAATTAATTTCCTAGAGTGGCACACAGAACTCAAACATTTCACTTACTAGATTACCAGTATATTATAAAAGGATATAACTCAGGAACAGCCAGATAAATTGAGGCACAGGGCCAGGTATGAGGAAGGGGCTTGGAGCTTCCATGCCCTCTTAGCATGCCAGTCACCCAGCACTTCCATGTGGCTCACCACCCCAGAAGCTCCCTGAATTCTCTTTTTTTTTGGGTTTCTATGGAGGCTCCATTACATAGGCATGATTCATTAAATCATGGCCACTGGTGACTGAACTCAATTTCCAGCCCCTCTCCCCTCCCGGGAAGTTTGGGGGTAGGACTGAAATTTCCAATCCTCTAATTACATAATTAGTTCCTCTGGCAACCAGCCTTCATCTTTAGGTGTGGGTGCAAAAGTCACCTCATAATAAAAGACACCTTTATCATTCTCATCACTTAAGAAATTACAATGTTTTAGGAACTCTGTGCCAGAAACCAGAATGAAGACCAAATACATATTTATTATAAATCATAATATCACAAGTATAAATGAGTTAATTAGGTCCCTCTAGAAACATGTCAGGATAAGACAGAGATGAAGAGTACAGGAAAGCACTGACACCTAAAAAGATGGCACCAAGTTGGAGAGGTACCAGCCAAAGGGAAGGCAAGGATACAACATCTTTCACAATTCCCGAATGCTTCTTTACTAGTAAATAATCACAGATACTTTAACAGCAGCTTCCCAAAGTCTTAAATTTGTAATTTCAATTAAAGGAACATATTTGCTCATAAAATATTTTCTTGAAGCTTTTCTCATATTATACTTACTCAACATAACGTAACAAACATAATGTCCAGCTTTTTTCCTCTTAAGTGATATAATTATAAAACTCAAGATATACCATGTTAGTATTCTCTTGATTAAAACCTACTCTAGAAATCTGAATCCATATTTTTGATAAAACATTTAGAAATAAAAGAAATTCAGAGCGTTTCATATAAAACCCATACCTTCTGCAGTCAATTTATCTGTCACTGTCCAAGCAGCAGAATGTGATGAATGTTGTGGCAACAGGGACTAGAACCTAGAGTAGAACATTAAGGAATCTAGGCCTCAGAACTTTGGATGGTTTGATGTTGTATTAATTGGCATTAAAGTGAAAGCAGCATTCATAAAGAGATAGCTACAATGAGAAAATTCCAAGAAAAAAATGTTTGAGATTTACAGCTTCTCTCATTGTGTTGTTTGAAGCCTTTGTACAAAGAGTAAAGAGCTCATGATTATTTTCAGAAAGATTAAAATAATGTAAGGCATTTCCCAAAGTTTGTAAAATAATTCCTAAAGTTTGGTATAATCTGATATACATTATACATTATATACACACTAGAGGCCGAACGCATGAAAATTTGTGCAAGAATAGGCCTTCCTTCCCCTGGCTGCTGGCATCGGCTTCCCTCTGGCACCCGGGACCCCAGCTTCCCTCCTCCTGCCACCGGCAGGCACCTGGGGCCGGGCGGCTTCCCTCTGGCCCAGGCTTCGTCCGGAAGGACGTCTGGTCTAATTAGCATATTTCCCTTTTATTATTATAGATTATAATTATAAATGTAAATGGCATGAATGAAAAATGTATTCCCAGTTTTCCCTCATACTATTTGTTGAAAATAAGTAAGTCATAACAAATTTAGACATGTCTTCCTACCTGAAGATCTGAAGAGCTTGAACTGTTTTGGTTGCAGTCATTCTGCATAACTGGAAATGAGTATTTCTCCTCATCTGATGACATTCTGTAAAAATACTATAAAACAGTAAACGTTAACTTTAGTTTCTCCCCCTTCAATATTTAAACTAAAATAGAATTCCTTATATAGAGATGGAACACTATCCAAAACAATAATTGTGATATTTTAAAATCATTCCACATATTAGAGCAACCATAGACAAAATCATTGGACAATAAAAAATAGTTAAAGATTCAATTCCCCAAATTAGTGAGTTTATAAAGTAGCAAAGAAGATGAAACAAATACATGAAAGGTTAAAGAAAAATGGAGGCTCCTCAGAAACATCCGCACAGTAGAGGATTGAGAATAATGGATTGTAGTCTCTGTTCTTAACAATGTGTGACAACCTAGATGTTGTGCACTTTCTTTGAAGATGCTGAACCAAGGAGAATGAACAGTTTGTGCAAATTCCCTGCTTGGGAAACTTACCTTTTGGAAGTATTATTTTAAGAAAAGTAAGTCTATACAAAACAACAGATTCTAATATGCACATAGAAAAACTGTTGAAAGTCTTAATAAAAAAATAAAAAATGAAAGTACTTTTAGTAACTAGTAAGTAAATTATTTAAAAGACAAGTAGTGAATATTCAAACTATCTGAATACTAGTAACATGTAAGACATTGGCGAGGAAGTAAGATGAGTCCTCAAGGACTTATAATCTATAGGGAGGGGCCAGATAGGTATATAAGTGACTGGTGAAAAAAGTGCTGATAGACCCTAAACAAAAGAGGTGCAAATAAAGGAGGCAGGAGTAGCCATTTTTCTTGGGGTGAGATCCTGAGGGTGTGAAGAAGTAAGACTGGAACCAGAGAAAATTTTAATAGAGAAAATGACCCCAGTGTTGCGATCTGAAAGACAGATAAAAGTTACCAGGGTATACTAGGCAGTAGAGTTGCATAAGCAAAGACATAGAGGCATGGACAGGTATGCTAGGAACGTAAGTATAGTAGTTAAGGCTGTAAGCAAAGGGTGTAAAGCAAGACTTGGCTGAGAGCAGCCAGATCACGAAAGATCATGATTATGTCATGTTAAAAAGTTTGGTCTTTATTTTAGAGAAGTTATTAAAATGTTTTAAACAAGTGATGACCAGATCATGCTTGTCTTTTAGAATGATCACTCTGGAAACTTTCACGATGAATTAGAGAGTTGGGGTCCTGAAGAAAGAGAGATCAACTGAGAGCCGAAAGCAGTAGTCCAAGAAGTAAGTGTTCCCTCTGGCAGTAATCCAGGAGATAAATGAGAGCCCGAATCTAGGAGTCAGCAATGGGAAGTAGATGGAGGGTATGACTATGAGACAGTTGTGTTATGGCAATGAAAATGAGAGACCATGGTTAATAATTGGTTCAGGGATTAAAGGGAGGAATTGTTAATGGCTTCTAGGAGTCTGACTTGAGTAACTAGATAGATGATAGTGCCACTCACCAAGGCAAGAAATGTAGGAAGATGAGCAGGTTGAGAGGAAGAACACTAGGTTCAACATCAGATGTTTTGGGTGTGAAGTACCTGTGAGGCACTGAGATGAAGCTGCAGGTATGTAGCATATGGCCACCCTGTATGCTGTGCACCAGCCAAGGACTGCCACTTACAGTGGTTGCAACGTGAATGGTGCTTCCTGGAGTTAAACAATGTGGGAGCCCTGCTTTGGAGCTTTAGGTTGAAGGTACAGTTTGAGGAATCATCAGCATAATAGGAAATGCTGAAGAACGAGAGGGTAAGATCACCGATGAAAAGGAGCGATAGAAAAATTTCTTACTCCGAAATCCATATACCCAAATTGTATGCACTATTTTTAGTATAAATGCACATGTGTGTATTTTTCTAGGAAGAGGATCCTTAGCTTCCAATATGTGTTCAGAGGAAACTACAACCCTAATAAAGTGAAGGGCCACTACCATAGTGAGACAAAGGTTAAAACCACGACCACTAACATGTAAAGGGGGGCGAGAAAAGCCAACAAAGAAGACTACAAAGATCAATAAAACTATCAGAAAGAACAGCATCACAAAAGCTTAGAGAAGGAAGTCAGAGTCACGTACCAAAGAAAGATGAGAACTGGACAGAATCCCTTGAATTTGGCAGTCAGGAAGTTGCTATGACATTTCCCTGAACAATTTCAGTGGAAAGTAGAACAGATCTCAATCACAGTGGGCTGAAAAGTAAGTGAGATGAGGAAATTGAAGCAGAAAGGGTGGATCCAGGGAAACCGCAATATTAGAAGAAACATGGATTGGGGCTAGATTGTGGAAAGGATAGCTCAACTTTATTCCGTGGCTGTTCCTGAATATACACATGATAAGTGAACTAAATCTCTGCCTGCCTGTCTTTCGCTAAGCCACTTAGGAAGGATAAAATAAGCACATACATCTCAGCAAGGAATGGCTGCTCCACAGGACGTCAAACCCACCCCTGTGGTAACGTGGTCCCTCTCTGTTTCCATCCACTTCTTCCTTTAGGATGTGCTTGCTGGTCAGTTAAGTATAGGAGTGGGGGTGGGGTGGGGCTGATTATTTAAAAAAACAAATGAACTGCACAGTATGGTCGGACTTATAGGAGTCTTTGAATAGAGACACTGCAGACACGAAACAACTACTGTACTTTCGGAAAATACGTGCTCAATCTTCCACCTGCCCTGCTGTGATGCCAACAAGGTATGGCCGTTTATGTGAAACTCTGCAACGGTAGCAGTACTTCTCCTAGGTTCAGAAACAAAGGAGGAAAATGAAGCTTGCTTTCACGGGTGGCGGATGTACATCGGTTCACTAAATTTTCAGTGTTTTCTAACCCAAAACGTCAGAAACCAGGGATAAAAAGTTCCGAGGGCTTCTTTATGGCCAGGTAAACCAAAGTACGTCTTGGTAATCACCTGTCTGATGGGGAAAGAGGGCTCCTTCTGGGAACTCAAAAGTAAGCCCTAAGAGGCAGAGGAGGGGTGACAGGTGCATGCCGGCGGCAGGGTGCGCCCCGCGCCCCTCGCGGACCCGGTTACCTGCAGGCAAGGTCAGGGCGCGCGGGCCACTTCCACGCCGAGGGCTCGCAGCAGACGGGAAAGCAGTTGCGAGTCGGCAAAGGGCTAGTTCTTTCCGATCACTTTCCTACCCACCCCTGTTTTAATCACATTCTTACTTAAAAACAAGGAAGCGTTTGGCATGGTTACTCCCCCCCCCGCCCCCCCTTAACGTTTTAAATGGCCAGAACCTATGGGACAGCAACCGCTATATTTGAGGCATCCCTCCTCCTGCCCTCTCTTCGCGACGACTCGTAGAGGAAAACCTCGCGACCTTGCCGCCCCGTTGAACAGCAGAAAGGCCGGGTCTAGGGGGCGATGCTCCCAGCCCGGAGCCCGGGGCCCGGGGCCCGGGGCCCGGGGGCGGAAATCTGGGCCAAAGCACTTTAAAGCCCACTCCGCTGCCTCCGCCAGGGGCTCGGGGTCGCCCAGGGCGCCGCTACCCACCGTCGCAGCTCTCCAGGAACCCCGACTCCTCGGTCCGCGTCCGCCCGCCGCTCCCTGCTAAAGCCACAGCCAGTACCGGGGCTACCTTAGCAGCAGCCTGACAGTTTCAAACTGCAGGGAGGAATTAAGGACGGCCCTGGGCATTGGCCCCGACCTTCAGCAACCTGACGTGTGATTGGTCAGCCAGTCGGGGGCGGGGTCTTAGACCGCGGCAGGGAGAAACCGGAGTTCAGTTACTAAGGAAAGCCCCGCCCTCTGGTCCTGAGGGGGCGGGGTCTTAAGGAGCCCTGCGGAGCGTCTGGGAGCGCATGCTCAGTTCCGTTCTGCGACTGCCGACCGCAAGCCCCTTCTGAAACGGGATTTGGGCTGCTGAGCAGGGCCGAAGTCAGCCAGGGCGGAACGCTGTTGTCTTTCGATAATACCCAATCTATGCGTGTGGTCCTCATGCATAAAAGTCATCTGCGTCTACAGGTTCCCTTCAACAGGATCAATTGGAGGTGCTTTTTTAAAAAAATACACATTCCTGAACCCTCTCTCTGAATTCCTTGGGTGTTGAGCAGGGCCAGGGAATCTGAATATTTAACTGTGTTCTTGACACTGTACTCAACTCATTTAATTCTCAGATTATCTCCGTGATAGAGATGCTGTTTCCATCCTCATTTTACAGATATGAAAACAGAAGCCCAAAGAGGTGACTTGCCCATGATCACATGGCTATTAAGAGCAGAACTGGTATTCAAATTAAGGTAGACTGGGTTCCAGAGTCCATGTTCCTGTCAGTAAGTCTGTTGGGAACAGTGTGACTGTTACGGATTAAATAGTGTCCTCAGAAAAAAAGATGTTCAAGTCCTAATCTCTAGTACCTGTGAATGTGACCGTTCTTGGAAGTGGGGTCATTACAAAATGCAATCAAGTTAAATTAGATCATGCTGGATTGAGGTGAACCTAAATTCAATAACTAATGTCCTTATAGAAGGAAATTTAGACACAGAGAGAGATACAGGAGAGAAGATGGAGGCAGAGATTGAGTGATGCATCTGTAAACTAAGAAACATAGATGATTACCAGCAACCACTAGCAGCTAGAAGAGGCAAGGAAAGATCTGCTAGCGCTTTCAGAGGGAGCACAGCCCTGCCGACACATTGATTTTGGCTTCTGGCCTCCAGAACTGAGAATACATTTCTGTTGTTTAAGCCACCCAGTTTGTGGAAATTAGTTATGGCATCCCTAGAAAACAAATACAGTGGCCCAGACATTGAGATAAGAAAGTGCTTATTGTATCTGGGGAATGCATAAAAGCCAGAAAGTAGTCTTAGTAAGGGGCAGAGTGGCACAGGATGAGGCTACAGATGGAGGTGGGGACCTGACTGTTAAGGATTTGAGATTTCATTTAAAGCTCAATTAGATGTTTTTAGATGTTCCAGAAAGAGATGAAAACAACTTGAACTAAAGGGATGACCAGGGTATATTTCACTTCCATACGTATCACATTGCCTGATTAGGCAGCTATTCACCCAGCTTCATTTTTTTTTTTTTACTAGAGAAGGGAATACATTTTTAGTGATGGATAGATGATATATATTTAAGTGTCTATTTATGTATCCATCCATCCATCCATCCATCCATCAAAAGAACATGGTAGATTATTTTTGGCAAGTGGCTCACAATGCATGTCTCCAAACAAATCTTTTGTAGCTGGACTACACAGTGTATTTAAAATCCTTTCATACAATGAGAGCCAAAAGGATAGATTCATTGAATATGTTTTTTAAATGTTTATTTATTGATTTTAGAGAAAGAGAGAGACATCAATTTCTTGTTCCACTTATTTATGCATTCATTGCTTGATTCTTATATGTGCCCTGACTGAGGATGGAACCTGCAACCTTGGTCTATTGGGACGATGCTCTAACCAGCTGAGCTACCCGGCCAGAGCTCATTGAACACATTTAATTGAGTCAGAGGATGTCCACTCCAGAGGAAGAAAGACTGTCAATAAGCAAAGACACAGGTTGTTGGCAGGAATCATGGCTGTAGTGGTCTGCAGGTGAGGCAGTGTAGCAGTGCTGTGCAGGGGTGGGTATTTGTAGAGGAGTAAGAGCTTGTACAGAATATTTTGATTTCCTGGATTCCACAGTTGCATTTTGCTACACAGCACTTCCTGGCTCTTTTATTGCAGAAGGGAGTTTATTTCTTAACTCTCATCATCCGCCTTCTGTTCTTCCTAATCATAAAGACTCATTCTTGAACCTCTCTGTTACCATCCTCTAGCCATATGAAAAAAGCTTCTTATCCTTAGAATTTCCTTTTCCTGATCAAACAATCTGGGACTAGCTGTGAGGCAGGATTAATTAGTTTTACAGAGAACAATGTTACAGAGTCCCACTGATGTTTGAGTGCTATACAGATGCTGTATTCGTGGGTCTTTAGGGCTTCTGAGGGTGGGTTTGCAGATCAGCGTAATTCAGCTCAGAGAGAAAGGAAAGATCTCACATTTTAGAGTGCTTAACCCAAAATGTACATGAGTACTCGTTATGTACTAAGCAATGTGCTAGGCCATTTCACATATATTTTGCTACTAGTCATTACAAAATTCTGCATCATTAAATGATGGGACCAGAAATACATTCACAGTAAAAATTTAATTTGATAATATGCAAAATTGTGATGTAATATTAACCATTATTATATATTATAATACTCTATTGCATATTTATCTCTAAAGTTTAAGATTTAATTTTTATAATGACTTTTGCTCTTTAGAATTTTTATTAAGAAAAAAGCAAATACATAAACCCCAGATTAATTAAATGCCATGTATATTCTACAAACTTTCAGAAGAAAAATGAGATTTTGAAATCGTCAAGTGTCATATTTATCTATTGATATATAGCATACATAATCCAAATACTACATAAAGCAATCTCTATCATATAACTTAAAAAATATATAGATTTTGTTAATATGAAAAAAGTTAAAAGTTCTTTTTAAAATTTATGGGTTTTTAGAATTTTATATTTAAAAAGCATTTTATGTTGGGATTTATTCAATTTATATGAATCATTATTTTCCCAAAATGAATGGGTATGTATTTGAAGACCATTGTATTGAAAACACAAGTCATTGATTTATATCTACATATGACCCTGAACACTTACAAAATTTATGAAACACCCCAGAATTCTAAGAAAAACATATGCCAAGTGTATACTCATCTATAAAATAAAAATTTAAATTCAAGATTGCAAAATAACATGATAGCCCTGTCTAAACTCTAATTCAAATAACTGAAACAACAGTTGAAGATATTGACATCTACAGTATAAAAGCATCAATTTTACCATGAGAATGAGGGAATGAAGTTGATTTCTGGATTTCTATGAATCAACACCCAAGCATCTTTAGAAAAAAACACACAACTTTAAAAGTGAACAGCTATCACCTCACTGGTATGGCTCAGTGGTTGAATGTCAACCTGGGAACCAAGAGGAGGTCAAGGTTAGATTCCTGATTGAGGCACATGCCTGGGTTTGGGGCTCGAGCCCCAGTGGGGGGCATGCAGGAGGCAGCTGGTCAATGATTCTCTCTCATCTTTGATGTTTCTATCTCTCACTCCCTCTCCCTTCCTCTCTGAAATCAATAAAAACATATTTTTAAAAAGTGAAGTTATTAATTAATTTATGGTCAGTGAAGATGTAATTGTATTAACATAATATAAATATATTACCTAAATTATTTAAAATTATAAATAATACTATCTTACTAAAATGATGAAAAATCTATATGGGAGGGATTTGTCTTTTTTTGGAAGCAAAAGGAATTTGAAGAAAACTTGATGGATATATGGTATCAAACACTACCATTTAGAAATTAATTTTTAGGAAAAGCTAAGTTTGTCAGTTTTGCAGTTTAAATATTTTCACCCTTCTAATAGTTTCTAATCACAGTTGACTGAAAACTGTAACTTTTCTCTTGTACACTTTGCTGATGATAAAATAAGATAAAAACAAAATAAGACTAAAAAAAACTAGAGGTTTTAATTTACTATTTTAGTATTTTTGGTATGTATCTTTTCTCATCCTCTTCAGTTAACCTGTCTCTGACCATAAAATCCCAAATCACCTTCAAGGCTTATCCTAAATACCACTCCTCTAAGAAGTCTGTGGGTTTTTGTTTTTGTTTTTGTTTTTTTAAATATATATTTTTATTGATTTCAGAGAGGAAGGGAGAGAGAGAGAGAGAAACATCAATGATGAGAGGGAATCATTGATCAGCTACCTCCTGCACACCCCACACTGGGGATCGAGCCCGCAACCTGGGCATGTGCCCTTGACCTGGAATCAAACTGTGACCTCCTGATTCATACATCAACACTCAACCACTGAGACACACCGGCCTGGCAAAGAAGTCTGTTTTTGTTTTGTTTTGTTTTTATAGTACTTCTTATGATCTCTTTCTCACTCATGTGCTTTGTATGCTTAACTCATTTTGTATTCTGCTGTAATTACTAGATCCTTTGGGGCAGGGATTGTGCCTTCCTCATTTTTCGGTCACCTATAGGACCAAGCACAGACCTCACCTGCAGTGGGTCTTTAATAAACATTTGCTGAATTAAAAATGCTGAATATTTATGGTTTCTCCATCCTCTATAAAATGATTTGTGTTTGCTGTTGATGCAACCTCTTTCCTTATTTCAGTGTGCCTGCAAATTCCACCAGAACAGAGTGAGCCTGCAGCATGACTCAGCGATGCAGGGTCTGAGTGTGGTCCCTGCTCTCCTAGTTTCCAGAGAATGGAAGTAAGTTTGTTCCAGCCACACCAGGTGGCAGTGTGACCCACACTTGCATGGCCACCAAGGCAGGTGTATGTGGAAAAACAAGGCAGTGATTCTACAAGGACATTTGAAAATAATTTAACACAAAAGGGTTAAGTGAACTCAATTTTCTGTATTCTATTCAGAGATTCCAAGACTCCTGTGATTTATATAATTGCTGCTGACAGGGAAAAATGAAAAAAAAAAAAGTTTTATTATTTGCACTGTCAACAGGTACACAGAGAGAAATAAATATGTATCCTGGCAGGCTAGCGTAAATCTTGCAT